AGAGTTGATAACTATGGCAATGAATGCTAAGAAGCCAACCTTACTGAAGCACAAATTCGTATCACTCTGTATTGGCCTAGGCCTACTACTCACCTTCTGTTCTACTCTGACCCTGGCAATCTCAACCTGTCACTGTTGCACCGGACACTTCTGTTCCCCAGCAACATGGACACCCCCACATATTGACAGTTTTTTCCACCGATACAACACATTCATTTGTCCTATGCCCTCCTGCACACTTATCACATCTCGGAAATGCCCTCCTGCACACTGCTTCAACATGACCATTAAACATCTGAAACACCTTAGTGGGTTCTGCACAAAAGCTCTCATTGGATAACTGACATATCATATCATGACTTTATCAGGTAAAGACTGCTTCAAAACTCAAAAAGGAGTTTCACCACGCTCGCCATCGGGTCTGCGTCGCACCAAACAGCGGGCTTCATCAAATTATTTAATATGTAGCCTAATAAACTGCATGGTTTCACGAGTCATAGTGGGAGGACCACACACCATATCATCACATGACTTCAAGTTTACTTCCATATTATGGTTTTTAGATCAATAATTTCCGCATAAAGGCGTTTCCACCGCCATTTCTAGCATAATTAATTTTACCAACACAAAAAGATCCCACCCTTGAACGAACAAATTATCTATCGGCATTTATAAAAGTGTACCTACACTTCCTGTTTCCATCACAGCTGTCGTGGGGTTTTTTGTATTCGGAATGACTTTCCTCACATAAAAACTGCGGATGGAAACGTGGTTACTGTAGCAATGTTCGGCATATAATGAATGACGAGTTGAAATGATAGCACAAACAGACTGCCACTCAAGTTTACCGGCTGCTTTACCATATCCCTCCCACCATGACAGAAAAGTATCAGAGAAGTTTGAAACCTAAATCATCAATTCTTCGACATCACCTTACCACTGTTCTTAAATCAATTATGTATCAGCTGAGCCAACAAACACGGCTAAACATGACGTCAGGTAAGCCCCAATTGCTGAGCCAATCGCAGAGCCAAAGAGTACGCATGCGTATTTTGACGGAATTCCCCCCCACCCCCCCACTGGAAAAGCTTTTCCAACATATTTCTCAGCTAAGCTACACAGTTTGGTTGAACGCTTTCTTTAGGACAGGCACCATAATGTTCGAAAGAAATTGATTGTTTAGCCGACATTTCCTATTTACACATCAACGGAAGGTTCTAGAATGGTCATGTGATGTGGATTGACCAGTTGTGTTACATTTTGAAAAATACCCAGGTTATCCGTCTTCGTATTTTTTTTACGAATGCCTCCTCTGTAACTTTCAAATTATCTAGGTTACTACATCGAAAAAAGGACGCGAATGTCGGTGAGCTCAAGGTGAACCGATGTTTCGTATTACTATGATGTTTTTTTTTTCAGTAAAACTAAAGCGTGTCCCACGCTAGAGAATAAATAAATAACTGAATGTAGCACGTGAACTAGTTTGACCAATCACCGATCGAGTTCTGAACTGAAGTGTATAAATATGAGGCGGTTGCCCATAGAGACGTCCGCCATTGAAGACTAGTTTTCAACGTACTTCATATTGTTTAAACCTTGTATTGTGTTTTTATTCGTTAAAAAGCTTTTTTAAAAATAGCAACGTTTTTATTCACTGCATCATCTGCGACAGTCTCATTGGGCATCCTTCCAGCAGAACACGGTCGGCAAAGAGCGTCTGTCTCAGATCGGCAGTAAAAACAATCTTGTGCCAGAGACGGAAAGGTAAATGTGTAAAGATGTCAGGGATCGATATCCAACACATTGCGTTTAATCCGCTGGTTACTTTATTGTATCTCATGACGTTGAAACGGAAGGCTTGTGTGGGGGGAACTGTTTCGTTTGCGGTTCACTGACTTTTTGTGTGGGTCTTTAGACAGAAATCGTTTCCTGTCACCATTTTGTTACGTCAAACTAATTAGCTAACGTTATAGCTAAGATTCGCGTATGTCACATTCAGTGCAAAAATCAGAGCCATGTTTAGGATTCAAACATTAACGGTAGTTAATGTATAATTTAATATGTAGGCTGGTAAAAGCTTTCGTGTTTCGGTACGAATTCCGCGTTGGCTATCTAGGCTAACATTCTCTATCTCACGCGTTACTAGCCACCGCATTTCGGTCGACCACGTTGAATGCATAATTCAAGCGTAGAGTTGACCAACAATAGAACGTACGATTGTTAATTGCTAGTTACTAACGTTAACTAGTCTGACCATTATTGTTGTAGCTAGCTATGTTATTTGTTATATTTGTATTAAACACAAAAACATATTAGACATTTCCCCCCCTTCTAGCCTGATGGCTAACGATGACTGCTAACTTGTTATTCTGCCTACCAGTAGAGGGCAGGCAATCGGCAGTCAGAAATGGAAAAGTGACGCATTGTTTCTCGCTGGTCAGAGTAAACAAGTTCCTTGCTATCTGGGATCATTGGGACGTCCATACCCTAACCTTTGTTAACTCATAATCAGAATGACGTTCATCCGCCAAGTACATTTACACATACTCAGAATTGTACTTGGTGATATGGTGCTGCTAGTGATAGACAGCATTTCGAGTAAGAATACAGAATACATGCCTCATCGGGCGCCAGGTATTTTCCAACCTTAACCATTGTACATTGCAACTTCCATGGGGGTAGGGACGTCTCAAAGGATCCCGGATAGCACGGACCGAGTAAAAAACATCTTGTAATAATAACACGCACCTTTACCATCCATCACAAATCACACCCATTAATGTGTAATGTTAGGTTCTAGTAAATAAAACAATTGACATTTTTGTTTCTATCCATTCAGTCTTTGACTTTCTCACCCCGAAAATGTTTTCTTCAGTATTAGCGGCATGTGTATATATGTTTTTTAAAGAAGATACTACTAGCCACTTATATTACGTAACGTTAATTGGAAACTAATTTGAGTCTTGTTATGAATGTGTATTTTCTTTGTTGATACTGGTTTTGTATGTTGTCCTTGGAAGGACAAATTATAGTTTCTCTGTAAAAATCCAATGTATTTATTGAAAATAAACTGCCTAGAAAGATCAATATAACTTGTAATGTAAATTATTTGATTGGGTATGGGCAAAAGTCCAATCTAATTGAATATGTACATTTTTGAAGATTGCAATATTCTTGATGGGGTAAGTAGGTGACAAAGGCATCCATCTGTGCCAGCACAATTGTTATTGTTTTTATTTTTGTGACCTGTCACCTAGTTTGAATTTCAAGGCTGTAGGTTATAGTAAAGGTCCTCAGCCTAAAAGACTGGAAGTGAAACCTTGTCTTTATGACTGATTGGGCATTTCCCAGAGAGATGGAGCCTATCCTTTACCTTATTATAGACCATGTAGTTTGTTCATATGTTATATCATTAATTTCCTATGTTAATGGTGAAATTAGGTATTTTGTGAAGATGTTTTCAATGGAATAACAAGCGCCTAAGTTGAATCATCATAAAAAGATGTAGTAGCCATTGTCCTGGAATATAACGTTGGTACTGTGAAGCAGAACCTTGAACTTAGTGACTATTTTCTACTTTTGGGACACTGAAGAGAAAAGAGGCCTAATGCTTTTCCATGGGTTGATACCGAGAAAGTTGCTTCTTGAGTGTAACTAATTGCCAAAAATGTTTGAATGAAAACATTGATGTTTACAAGTTCATCAGTTGGCATGCTTTGTAGAGAGTCAATTGATACAACCATACTTTTCATGAAACTATTTTGGCTGGTTTAGTTGATGGTAGCGAGAAAAGCACAGCTCACAGAGGTGCTTTGCAGTGATTTGATGGGAGGGAGAATTGGTCAAAGTAGTTGCGGTTTTGTTTATCAAGCCATGGTCATCTGACAGATATCGAGGTAAGCAAGTTTGGAGCTTTGGATGCCACGTTGGACACCAGAATTGTAATGTTGACTATGGCCAACAATGCACAGTTCCAGTAGGTGGCAGTAGAAACCAGCAGTTTGAATGGCATAGGATTAAAGATGCACTATGCAGAAATTGCTCCGCCATTTCCTGGTTGCTAAAATTCTAATAGTTTGCCTAATTTCAGTTTGTGACAAAACAAGCAAGTGTATTGTAGAGAATGATTGTACCGTCTAAACCGCTGTGAAATATTTTTTACAAAACCATGAATATGGTTTGAAGCTGGTGTACTAAACCGAAGGTACAAGATAGGGAGGCATAGAAATAGCTCACATACCAGATCTACCACTCCTTAGACTTGCTTTCAATGAGCACGACAGATCTATAACACACATTTCTATGTGAATTTGGTTGGATTGCCCAAAAAGTTACATATTGCAGCTTTAAATTGGTTGCTTTTTGTAGTCCTGTTTTGCTTTCAATTTTATTTAGCAAAACCCTTGTCAGTAATATGTTTAATTTTGTTTGTCCCCTGCACAAAATCGAAATGTATCAATCTGCCTGTTTGGTACGGGCTATGGACACACACTGGTGTACGATATGGCAGTGACTGGTTTACCTATTGCTGTGGTTCTCAAACCTCTCCTTGGGGACCCCTAGATCATTTAGTTCTCTGAACTAGCTCGCCTGAGTCCCCTATTCAACTAATTATCAAGACCTTGAATCAGGTGTGCTAGCTCTGGAATAGATCAAATGCATGGAATTGCTGGGGGTCCCCGAGGAGAGGTTTGAGAACCACTGACCTATTGGCCTTTCAGAGCAAAAGGCTTCCTATGCTAATGAAACAGACAGTTCAGCAACTTGCATGGCAGTGTGATCCTGCTCTGGATGTTTTGATCAGGAGGTACATTTTTGTATTTTATTTTAGTCACACAATTGTGCTGTTATCTAGTGCGGGGGAAAAAACATCCATGCTGAAAACCACCCCTCTCTTTCAGTGGTCTTGGAGGAATATGTGTGATGAAAGCTGAGCTACAGGAAACAAGTGCCTCTCTGAATTGCTACCCCGTGTCTACCGACCTTCGGACTGCACCACGATGACAAATGCCGTATGTCCCCCGATGTCCATGGTGGGAGGCGTGAACCCTCCTCCCCCGGAGTTCAAGAACCCCAAGAAGCCCGGCCGTCTCACCAACCAGCTGCAGTACCTGGAGAAGGTGGTGGTCAAGGCCCTGTGGAGACACAACTTCTCCTGGCCTTTCAGGACGCCTGTCGATGCTGTCGGACTGCACATTCCAGTGAGTCTCTCACTTTTGTTACTTGCAATAACTGATATGTGGTATTTCCCTACTAAACTAAGTTGAATGCACTGACTGTAAGTTGCTCTAGATAAGTGTCTGCTAAATGACTAAAATGTAATTGTCAAATGTTTTTTATTTTAGTACTGCACATCCATCATGACCTCTTATGAATTATTTTCCCATTATTTCTCTATTTTAGGATTACTATACAATTATCAAGACGCCAATGGACTTGAGCACCATCAAGAAGCGTCTTCAGAATAATTATTACTGGAAAGCGATGGAATGCATACAAGACTTCAACAAATTGTTCACCAACTGCTATGTATATAATCGGGTAAGGAAAAAAACCTTTGAAATTAGTGTAGGTCTACATAGTTTCCCATTCAATGACAGAATGCTCAATAATCGTTATTACATTTTTCAGCCTGGAGATGACATAGTTCTGATGGCTCAAGCCTTGGAGAAGATCTTCCTACAGAGAGTGGCTGAGATGCCCCAGGAGGAGACTGAGACATCTGCCATCACAACCAAGAACCCAGTGAAGGGTGGGAGAAAGTCCTCTGCTGGTAAGCTACACTGCTGCTCCAGTGGCTTAATCTTACACATACATTGTATGCGTCCCAAATGGGTGGCACCCTATTCCCTTTATAGTGCACTACTTTTGACCAGGGCCATAAGGCTCAGGTCAAAAGTAGTGCATTATAAAGGGAATAGGTTACCATTTGGGCCTCAACCGTACTGTCTTTCATGTACTTTCTGCCTTCTTAATGTCCTCTTATCTTCTGTGTAGGTGTGATAAAGCTGAGGCCCCAGTCCCCTGTGTCTGAGGTAGTGTTCCAGCAGACCGTGATGGTCATCCCTCTTGAGGCCCAACACACCATCCCTCCTGCTGCCCAGCTCTCCTCTCAGATAGCATCCAAAGTCAGTACCTCTAAACAATTACCTCACTATATGTACTTTATATATTTTATACAACGGGTGGTTCTAATCCTGAATGCTGGTTGGTTAAAACTGCTTTGCAGCCGGTGTCTATTCCACAAGTTACCACAGGCATTTTAACGTCATAGATTTAGCCGATTTACTCTGTTCCATCTGGTGGTCAGTGACCCCGCTGTCCTGGCGTCGTGGGGGAGCTTGTTCCACCATTGGGGTGCCAGAGCAGCAAATAGCTTTGACTGGGCTGAGCGGGAACCGTGCTTTCGTAGAGGTAGGGGGGCTAGCAGGCCAGAAGTGGATGAACGTAGTACCCTCGTTTGGGTGTAGGGTCTGATCAGAGCCTGAAGGTAAGGAGGTGCCGTTCCCCTCACAAATCCGTAGGCAAGCACCATGGTCTTGTAGTAAAAAAAGACCTCTCTGGATAAGAGCGTCTGGTAAATGACAAAAATGTAATGTAGTAGATGCGAGCCTCAACTGGAAGCCAGTGGAGTGTGCGGAGGAGCGGGGTGACATGAGAGAACTTGGGAAGGTTGAACACCAGACGGGCTGCAGCGTTCTGGATAAGTTGTAGGGGTTTAATGGCACAGGCAGGGAGCCCAGCCAACAGCGAGTTGCAGTAATCCAGACGGGAGATGACAAGTGCCTGGATTAGGACCTGTGCCACTTTCTGTGTAAGGTAGGGTCGAACTCTGCGACTGTTGTAGAGCATAAACCTGCAGGATCGGGTCACCGCTTTGATGTTAGCAGAGAACGACAGGGTGTTGTCCAGGGTCACGCCAAGGTTCTTTGCACTCTGGGAGGAGGACACAATGGAGTTGTCAACCGTGATGGCGAGATCATGGAGAGACGCAGTCCAAGAGTGAGCAGTGCCGGAGATGCCCAACTCGGAGAGGATGGAGAAGAGGATCTGATGGTTCACAGTATCAAAGGCAGCAAATAGGTCTAGAAGGATAAGAGCAGAGGAGAGAGAGTTAGCTTTAGCAGTGCGGAGAGCCTCTGTGACACAGAGAAGAGCAGTCTCAGTTGAATGACCAGTCTTGAAACCTGACTGGTTTGGATCAAGAAGGTCATTCTGAGAGCGATAGCAGGAGAGTTGGCTAGAGACGGCACGCTCGAGTTTTGGAGAGAAAAGAAAGAAGGGATACTGGTCTATAGTTGTTGACATCTTAGGGATTGAGTGTAGGTTTTTTGAGGAGGGGTGCAACTCTCGCTCTCTCTATACCACTTATACATGCCACATAAACATCAATTTTGTAGTTGACAGAATACTTTGTTAAATGTATATTGTGCAAACTGTTTAGTCTGCATTTTGCCATTGCATTTCCACCCTTGTCAGATAACACCCCCCCCCCCCTGTTGTATTCATATAGTTTCAGATCAAGAAGGGTGTGAAGAGAAAAGCAGACACCACCACGCCGACAGCCTCTGCTCCGATCACCAGCTGCGAGTCGTCCCCCATCGTCGACGGCTCGACGCCCTGTAAGCTGTTCTCCAGGCGGGGCAGCGGTCGGCCCATCAAACCCCCCAGGAAAGACCTGCCTGACTACCCCCAGCACCACAAGAGCAAGAATAGTAAGCTCTCTGATCAGCTCCGCTTCTGTAACTGCATCCTGAAGGAGATGTTCACCAAGAGGCACGCGGCCTACGCCTGGCCCTTCTACAAGCCGGTGGATACGGAGACCCTGGGTCTACACGACTACCACGACATCATCATGCAGCCCATGGACCTGGGAACCATACGGGTTAGATGGCCGGGTTACACTAAACTTGTGTTGAACGAGAGAGGCTAGTTAGTATCTGCCAGGGTTACATTGGCCAATCTATATCTTGTCCCTTGTTCTCTCTCACTGTTATGAAGATTACCGTATTTGTGATGATACTGAAGACGTACGTGTTTTTTCACAGAAAAAATGTGTTGAACGTGAATACATGGATGCCCAGGATTTTGCTGCTGATTTCAGACTCATGTTCTCCAACTGTTACAAATACAACCCACCCACCCACGAGGTTGTTATTATGGCAAGAAAACTCCAGGTATGATTGCCCTTTTTTCAACCAGTCTAGTCCCTAGAAGTTGTCTAAATGAATTGCAATGCAATAACGATAGTACAATATGCAGGGATGCAAACTCGTCGCTTTTCGGCGAGATTTGCCGTTTTGATCTCAAAATAGGCCATCCACGTGAATCGTGTAGATCTGAAGGGGGGATAAAAAGATTGTGATGTCATATGTGTTCCATCCAATGTCACATGTGACAGCTGTGATCAGCCAGCTGCATCCCCTACTAGCCATTGCTCAAGCCTGCTTCTCTCTGTCCGCTCTTGCTGCGCATCTCCAGTTTTAAAATGTAGTTAAGCCGTGATGGCGAGCTGGGGTGTGCGGACATGAATGAATCCCTGTGGTATCACGATACTACTCGGTATTGCGATATCGCTTGGTATCGCTTCATTAGTGAAATGTTGGTATTATGACAAAACTACTCTGAAAATAAGCACATTTCCTTGCACTTCACACATATTTTTCACGTGTTTCAGTGCAAAAAAAAATCACCAGTTTGCATCCCTGAATATGAAGATGGGTGGTTGGTGAGAATGTTTGACTAGATTAATTGTGGCCCCTACCCACTAGGATGTGTTTGAGGAGCGCTGGCTGAAGCTTCCAGACGAGCCAGTGAGGAGGGCTGGTGGGCCAGGTCACCACAGGGACGGGAGAGGAGACGGGCCTGGGAGCTCCTCTAGCACAGGCAGCAGTACCGGCGAGAGCTCGTCGGAATCGGAGTTCTCCTCAGACTCTCAGGAGGAAGAAGAGGCCAGAGCTCTACGGTTGGCTAAACTAGAGGAACAGGTATGTCGTCACACCGCTTGTGTCATCTTACCTGGCCATGCTGACATCACTGTTCTGTTACGTACTACCGTGTATCTAACTGATGCCCCCTCTCCTCTGCTCTTCTCAGTTGAAAGCGGTGCACGATCAGCTGCAGAGACTCACCCAGGAGCCCCTGCTCAAACCAAAGAAGAAAGAGAAGTCAAAGGAGAGAAGAAAAAAGAGGGAAACGAGTAGTAGACCAAAGCATGAAGAAGACCTGCGGAAACCTAAAGTGCAGGAGAAGTGCATTAACAAGGGCACGTCTTCTGTGTAAGTGACCAAGTCTTTGTTGATGATAAATTGCTCTTATTGTTTTTTTTTATCTCCCTTCCCAGTGGAACCTCCTTTTTTTACAAACCAATACAAAGGATTATTGACTTTCATGTTGCCTCTGTTAGTTAAAAAAAACTAACTTTCATTGTCCTACCAAGAGTTCCTTATTGTCTTTTTACCCCTCTAAAGGCACGGCAAGAGGAGGAAGATGGCTCTCCCTGTGGTGCCCTATGAGTCTGAGGAGGACGAGGTCCCGGCGCTGCCCATGTTGTACGGTGAGAAGAGGCAGCTGAGCCTGGACATCAACAAGCTGCCGGGGGACAAGCTGGGCAAGGTGGTGAACATCATCCAGGCCAGGGAGGCCTCGCTCAGAGACGCCAACCCTGAGGAGATAGAGATCGACTTTGAGACCCTCAAGCCCTCCACACTCAGGGCCCTGGAGAGCTTCGTCATGACCTGCCTCAGGAAACGGCCCAAGAAACTCAACTGTGAGTAGTTGCAGTGCACACCTTCCTTCCTTCGGTCCTTGTGGGTTGATTATTGCACATGTATCTCTGTACTGCTGACCAAGGACTTTACTAGGCTCAAATGTCATTCTTTACCCTATTCTTTCTTCCAGTGAATAAGCTGGTGAAAGCCAAAGGAGAGATGCAGACTGTGAAGAAGCAGGATGCAGAGAAACATCTCCAGAGTATTACTGATGAGTCGAGCTCACTGGCCAATAAGAAGAAGTCAACAAGTAAGTAAACACTGAAGCTGTGGTAGCAAGGACCAGTATGTCTGTTATTTAGGGGCCTTGTTGTCCTTAGGAGGGTCGGGGGAAACAGGTTCTTCGGTGTTCTCTCTGCTGTCCAATAGGGAATAACTCAATTGTGCTTGCCTCAGTCTTTCTCTCTGTTGTCCTATACGTGATAGTTGTCCCTCTCTGTTTCCCTCCAGATGAGCCCCCTATGGCTCCTCCTGTCTCAGACCTGGCCCGGCCATCCCGTCTCAGTGAGAACAGCAGCTCTTCCTCCTCCGGCTCTGACAGCTCCAGCAGTAGTAGTGATTCTAGCACTTCTGATAGCAGTGACTCTGAATCAGGTTAGCTGTTCTCCTCAGCACTAAGCACTATCCCCCACCCCCTACCTACCCACCTCGCTTTCCTGCAAGGGCACTCCCTCCACACTTCCCCCCACTCTCTGTACACTAATGGAGTGAGAGAAAATGATACGGCTAAAAACCCACCTGGACTCTAGCCTCTGTAGCACAGTATAACTTTTTCACCTGCTGGCAAAACCAAAATACTTGAAGAAATATTAAAGTGTTATCGTTTCATATTTTTGAATGTTCGTTCATTGGGTGTTTTTATATTTATTTATTTGTGCACTTAGTCTATACTACAGAGAGCAGTGAACTGTCACAAACATCTATCTTTAGATTATTACAGTGCTGTATTTATTTGTTTGTTAATGTTATTTTTATAATGCAAACAAATGGTGCTTAGTTTGAAATGAGGCCAGCCAGCCTTCTGTGCAAAATGTCATTTATCCAGCGGGCACCAGACTGCTGCTGTCCAAATCTGAAGTACATTTTAAGAATGGGGACAAGTTCTTAAACAGCCCATATAGGCCTGGTGCTATTTATGAGCCAAATATCTTATTTACACTTCTACCGGTATACATCTTCTATAAACATAGTAAAAATCTGATGGATAGGGTTACTCTTCAACCCCCTCTCATCTCACCCTCCATACGCTGAGCCATTGCAGGGTCAAAGCTGGTCCTCACTTAAGACTGCAGCACTCATCACTGTTCACCAATTGATTGTACTCAGATTTTTGTTACTTTTTGTTTTGGGTTTTTGCAAGATTTTGTATGGAGCAATATAAGCATAATACACGTACATCAGATTGTATTTGAAGTACTCGACAGATTGTATTTGAAGTACTCTACAGATTGTAACGTTAATGCAGAGCTTGAGGGAGTAGGATTTCTGCTACACTGCTGCATTTTGTAGGTAGTGCAAATGTTTTTTGTTCCATTTGTACCTAACATGGGTAGAATTTTAAACGTGTCTGTCTTGGTGGTCAACGCCTAGAGTTTCAAATAAATACATTTTGATAGACTATTTTACATTTTACCGTTAAGTGGTGTTTTTCTTTTAATTTGTATCACATCTTCAAACAGTTAAATCCTACTAGACACATTAACTTGCAACCACAAGTTTAGCTTTTACTGAAAACTGGGGATGAAATAGTAGTGATTCCAGGGTAGATCAGTGGAATTGTTTTCGTATTATTTAAAGGTAAGTAAAGATGTGTATATTTTTATTTTCCATTTATCCAACTGTGGATAAATTGAATTACTATTGCGCATGTCTTTCAGTAAAGAAATCTAAGAAGAAAAAGAAATGCAAAGACACTCCACACAAGTTCAAGACAAAGGTAAATATCTAACACAGCCCCTGGTTTCTCTAACCCAGTGGTCTAGTTCACATGGGTTATACCTTATATTTGGATGAACATGCTTGGAACTACAGTGTGTTTTCATTATAAATTGTAAGTAATTTCTTTCCCGTCAAACAGAAGTCAAAAAAGAAGAAATCTGCTAAGAAAGACCTATTGTCTGAGTCCTCTCTCCAGACCAGCCAGCCCCCGCCTGCCTCTGCCTCTCTAGCCCCAGCAGTAGTCACTAAAGGCCAGCCTCTAGAGCTACTCGTGTCACCCCCAGGTAGCAAACGCTTGTTGCCTTCACATTCTGTGTCTGTGTGTTAGTGCGTTGGCTATAAAGGAACTCAATGGACAACCATGCCAAGTTCTGTAACACTGTCTTTCATTACATTTTTAAAGGTTGTTGACAAGTCCTTAGTGTCAGCCCTTGCTATGGATATACGATTTCCCCTGTAAAACAGCAGGTTTTAAACCCATGGAAGGTCTAAGGCTGGACCGAGGCCCCTGTGGAAATCACATAAGGAGAAGATTGTATTGTTTGGATTAGATGAAAAAGCTGGATTGCCTGGTCATTTCTCTGGGCCGTGTTGCTCTCAGTCTCATGGGATGTGACATTTAGTTGAGTTTAACCAGAAGCCTACACCCTTTACTCACTTTCTCTTGAATTTCCCCTTCTCCTTCCCTCCACTCTCAGCCTTACACAGCCGCCTGCCTCCGCAGCCTTCAAGACCAAGTGCTAAAGCAGCACCACTACCTCGCAAAAACAAGTTGGCCCCCCTGCAGCTCACTGACAGTCAGCCCCAACAACAGCAGGACCCCCTGGCCCCGTCTGAGAGCCCCACTACTCCCTCTCTCACTCCCCCTTCCTCCTGTGACCCCACTCTTACTCTGTCCACAGACCCACTAAACACAACACCTACCCTCACACACAAACCTCCCTCCAGCCTGCTCTGTTCCCCCCAAACCCCTCCCTATCCCCTAGCTCTCCTCCCTTCTCCTCGTTGTCAATCACTAGCCCAGACACAGGAGGGGAAAACTGGGCCAGTCTCTCTTGAGCCACCTGATAGGGCACAATGGGAAGGTAAGGGCTCTTCAGTCAGCTTAGCAGCCCCCCTAGCTTTTAGCATGTCCCCTCCCCTGTGTGCTGCCTGTGCTGCTAAGGTCTGTGTGTCGCCTGTAGATGGTGTGTTTTTAGCTTGCTGTGGAGTTCATACCATTCCACCATCGCTGTTTGTTTTTACATTGCCGTGCAGTGTTCTAGATGCCATGTCACCATCTCTGTAACCCTGGCTGCATGTCTCATCTCGCTCCTCATCAACTGCCTGCCTGCCGGCTTACATCCACAGTGTTGGTGTCTGTCTGTGTGGAGAATAACGCCCTGCTTTGTTTTTCTCCTGTCCATCTGCGCTGCTGTCCCCTCTGACCTCTCCTGCAGTTTTACTACAGGCTGCAGATAGCAGATATGAGGTATGCTCTCCTCTTCCTGTTGTTGATGGATGAATTGTGACGCTAGATTAAAACACATTTATTAATATCGCAAGAGTGTTGATTGGTATATTTTCTTTGAAGGACATTTTTATTAGAATCGATACAAGTCTACAGAGTGTTTTCTGTTGCAATTGAAATTTTTCATTGGCCAAATATTTCAGGGGTGGAGACAGCCGGTTGATTGTGTGAAAAAGCATTGGCCTTAGCCCTGGGAGAGGGCGGTAATGGAGGTTTAATACTCTAAATCTCACTTTGCGGTAGCAGCAGCCGTGCCCAGTGCTGTTGTCCCCTCTACAAGACAGCCCATTACAGCCTGTGAAGGATGACATGAGGCCCTCTGAAGCACTGGGGGAGACCCACTCCAGGATTCTACAGAAACAGCCTTGTAAGCAGAACTGTGTGTGGGTGTAGGAATGTTTTTGTGTATGGAATTTTGTTCATTTGTAATTGATTTGCAGACATCTTTTTAATGGACTGAATATATTTTCTCTACCTCCCCAGATCCCAGACACTCTGACGGTGTGTTTGATGGTGGCAACACCAGCCTCTCTCATCCAGCTAATAAACCCACTGCAGATGGAAAAAACACAACTGCCAAAAAGGTAAGCTAATGTAACTGAAACATAACACTAGCATCATGAATTACTTGAAATGTACTGTATGCATGCCCATCGGAAGCGTTTGTCCGAAAAATGTGACACGTCATTTGTGAAACTATCCTGTGTAGGATATTGTCCTGAAGAACGCAGACTCCTGGGCTAGTTTGGGGAAGATGGCCATTTCCACTCCCTCCACGGTGAAGTCTTCAAAGGAGAGCTTTGATAAGTTCCGCCGGGCAGCCATTGAGAAGGAGGAGAGAGAGAGAGCTCTCATTCTGAAGAGGACTCAGATGAAGGCTTCGGGGAAGAGCAGGTACTTATTCATTCATCCATCCACTCATATTTTCTTAATCTATTCTTTAGTCTTTTCTTATCAGTTTTGTATCTTGTAGGTAATGCTGCTTCACCCAAACTCCTCCAATAATGAAGTAGATGTCTCTTAATACGTGAGTGGTACTTGATGAGCCAGGTAAAAGTGTTGTTTTCTTTTCAGCCTGACCATGCCAGTATTGTTGCCAGTGGCAGTACCCGTGCCACCTAGAGCTGCAGAATCGGAGCCCCTGCCATGTAGAACACCAGAGCCAGCAGAGATCCCCCTGCCGACAGAGGCCATCGTGGAGCCTCAGACTCCTAAAGATCTAGAGCCCCTGAAAGAGGAGCCTCCAGCGGCTGCCTCAACCACACCTCCGCCCCTCACTACCCAGACATCTGTAGACGGGGAGAGGGAGATGGCCCGCAGGAGAGAACAGGAGCGACGCAGACGAGAGGCTGTACGTCCCTTTCCTTCCATTTTTGCCTTCATTTGTTTTATTGTGCCAGTCATTCTTCTGTTCCTTGTTGTAGTTTTATCCAGGCTGTAATAAAACGTCTTCCCTTTTCTCCCTCAGATGTCTGGTGTCATTGACATGACAATGCAGAGTGACATCATGGCAACATTTGAGAAGAACCTGGACTAACATAAAATGGCAGGAGACCATGCAGCTTGTGACTGACGTCTGTCTTCTGTTGTTGGAGAATAAATAATAGAGCTTGGTGTTCTAGTAAACGTCACCCTAGGCTCCTCCTCTCCCTCCAGACACTGGCTGTCTGAACCAACCACTCAGCATCTAGATGATGGAAAGGGGTCATTATGGGTGTGTCCCAAATGACACCCTATCCCCTATATAGTGCACTACTTGTGGGCCCTATTGGCCCTGGTCAATCGTAATACACTAAATAGGGAATAGTGTGCATTTTGGGATGAAGGCTATTATTATCCTCACCAGGAGACGCTTGTACTGTAGCGGAAGCTTGTACTGTAGCATGGCAACCTCACATGACATAACCCCAGTACATTTTAGTATTGTTGTCAACTGTAAGAAGATACTGTAAGATGTAAAATATTGATATTGCAAAATATATATATATATACACACACACACACACACACACACATTACTAGTGAAAAGTTTGGACACCTACTCATTCAAGAGTTGTTCTTTATTTTTGCTATTTTCTACATTGTAGAATAATAGTGAATACGTCAAAACTAATGAAATAATACATGGAATCATGTAGTAACCAAAAAAAGTGGTAAACAAATCAAAATATATTTGAGATACTTCAAATAGCCACCCTTTGCCTTGACAGCTTTGCATACTCTTGGCATTCTCTCAAGCAGCTTCACCTGGAATGCTTTTCCAACAATCTTGAAGGAGTTCCCACATATGCTGAGCACTCGTTGGCTGCTTTTCCTTCACTCTGCCGTCCGACTCATCCCAAACCATCTCAATCTGGTTGATGTCAGGGGATTGTGGAGGCCAGGTCATCTGATGCAGCACTCCATCACTCTCCTTCTTGGTCAAATAGCCCTTACACTGCCTGGAGGTGTGTTGGGTCATTGTCCTGTTGAAAAACAAATTATAGTCCCGCTAAGCCCAAACCAGATGGGATGGCGTATCGCTGCAGAATGCCTTGAATTCTAAATAAATCACAGACATTGTCACCAGCAAAGCACCATAACACCACCACCTCCATGCTTTACGGTGGGAAATACACATGCAGAGATCATCCGTTCACCCACACCGCGTCTCACAAAGTCACGGCGGTTGGAACCAAACATTTCAATTTTCGACTCCAGACCAAAGGACAAATCTCCACTGGTCTAATGTCCTTTGCTCGTGTTTCTTAGCCCAAGCAAGTCTCTTCTTCTTATTGGTGTCCTTTTAGTAGTGGTTTCTTTGCAGAAATTCGACCATGAAGGCCTGATTCTCACACAGTCTCCTCTGAACAGTTGATGTTGAGATGTTTCTGTTACTTGAACTCTGAAGCATTTACTGCTGCAATTTCTGAGGCTGGTAACTCTAATGAACTTATCCTCTGCAGCAGAGGTAACTCTGGGTCTTCCATTCCTGTGGCGGTCCTCATGAGAGCCAGTTTCATCATAGCGCTTGATGGTTTTTGCGACTGCACTTGAAGAAACTTTCAAAGTTCTTGAAATTTCCCATATTGACTGACCTTCATGTCTTAAAGTAATGATGGACTCTTTGCTTATTTTATCTGTTCTTGCCATAATATGGACTTGGTATTTTACTAAATAGGGCTATCTTCTGTATACCCCCCCCTACCTTGTCACAACAACTGATTGGCTCAAACGCATTAAGAAGGAAAGAAATTCCACAAATTAACGTTTAAGAAGGCACACCTGTTAATTGAAATGTATTCCAGGTGACTACCTCATGAAGCTGGTTGAGAGAATACCAAGAGAGTGCAAAGCTGTCATCAAGGCAAAGGGTGGATATTTGAAGAATCTCAAATATAAAATATATTTTGATTTTGTTTAACACTTGGTTACTACATGATTCCATATGTGTTATTTCATAGTTTTGATGTCTTCACTATTATTCTACAATGTAAGAAATAGTCAAAATAAAGAAAAACCCTTGAATGAGTACGTGTGTCCTAACTTTTGACTGGTAGTGTGTGTGTATGTGTGTGTGTGTATATATATATATATATATATATACACACACACTTAAAGGACCATATATAGATGGACTTTGCCCTTTTTTTGGTACTTTTGATTGTTTGTAAATACCAGCTGCACTGAAGTGATGCTTAACTCTTAAAGAAAGAGCTGTTGTAAAAAATAAATGTAAAATTGAACTGTTTTTCCACCAACACGTTGAGTCCTTACTTTTCACCTAGGGTGCATCACAAATGGCACCCTATTGCCTTTATAGAGTTTTGACCAAGGCCCTTAGTGCTCTGATCAAAGGTAGTGCACTATATACGGAATAGGATGCCATTTGGGACAGTAGACTTGGTGAGTCCTCTCATGTACACCAGAGGAGGCTGGTGGAGGGCGCTATAGCATGATGGACTCATTGTAATGGCTGGATTGGAATAAATTGAACAGTAAATAAATGGAAACCACATGTTTTGACTGTTCCATTTATTCCATTCCAGCCATTACAATAAGCCTGTCCACCTGTAGCTCCTCCCACCAATCTCATCTGACTTTCACATCAACCTGTTTACACCCTTATTAAAGTTCCAACTTTTTGACTTGGCTGAAATGCATAACCTGACCTCTTTGTTTTTGCTACACTCCCAAATAGTAATACTATTATGTACAGTGTATTCAGAACCCTTTACTTTTTCCATATTTTGTTACATTACAGCCTTATTCTAAAAAAAAATCAGCAAAAACAGGTTTTTAGAAAAAAACTGAAATATGACATTTACATAAGTATTCAGACCCTTTACTCAGCACTTTGTTGATGCACCTTTGGCAGTGATTACTGCCTTGAGTCTTCTTGGGTATGACGCTACAAGCTTGGCACACCTGTATTTGGGGAGTTTCTCCCTTCTCTGCAGATCCTCTCAAGCTCTGTCAGGTTGGATGGGAGTGTCGCTGCACAGCTATATTCAGGTTTCTCCAGAGATGTTCGATCGGGTTCAAGTCCAGGCTCTGGCTGGGCCACTCAAGGACATTCTGAGACTTGTCCCGAAGCCACTCCTGCGTTGTTTTAGCTGTGTGCTTAGGGTCGTTGTCCTGTTGGAAGGTGAACCTTCACCCCAGTCAGAGGTCCTGAGCGCTCTGGAGCAGGTTTTCATCAAGGATCTCTCTGTACTTTGCTGCATTCATCTTTCCCTCGATCCTGACTAGTCTCCCAATCCCTGCCGCGGAAAAACATCCCCACAGCATGACGCTTCCATCACCATGTTTCACCGTTGGGATGGTGCCAGGTTTCCTCCAGACGTGACGCTTTGCATTCAGGCCAAAGAGTTCAATCTTTGTTTCATCAGACCAGAGAATCTTGTTTCTCATTGTCTGAGAGTCCTTAAGGTGCCTTTTGGCAAACTCCAAGTGGGCTGTCATGTGCCATTTACTGAGGAGTGGCTTCCATCTGGCCACTCTACCATAAAGGCCTGATTGGTGGAGTGCTGCAGAGATGATTGTCCTTCTGGAAGTTTCTCCCATCTCCACAGAAGAACTCTAGAGCTCTGTCAGAGTGACCATCGGGTTCTTGGTCACCTCCCTGACCAAGGCCCTTCTCCCCCGATTGCTCCGTTTGGCCGGGCGGCCAGCTCTTCGAAGAGTCTTGGTGGTTCCAAACTTCTTCCATTTAAGAATGATAGAGGCCACTGTGTTCTTGGACCTTCAATGCTGCAGAAATGTTTTGGTACCCTTCCCCAGATCTGTGCCTCGACACAATCCTGTCTCGGAGCTCTACGGACAATTCCTTCGACCTCATGGCTTGGTTTTTGCTCTGACATGCACTGTCAACTGTGGGACCTTTATATAGCCAGGTGTGTGCCTTTCCAAATCATGTCCAATCAATTGAATTTACCACAGGTGGACTCCAATCAAGTTGTAGAAACATCTCAAGGATGATCAATGGAAACAGGATGCACCTAAGCTCAATTTCGAGTCTCATAACAAAGGGTCTGAATACTTTCGTAAATAAGGTATTTCTAAACACCTGTTTTCGCTTTGTCGTTATGAGGTATTGTGTGTAGATTAATAAGGAAAAACATTTATTTAATCCATTTTAGAATACGGCTGTAACTTAACAAATGTGGAAAAAGTTAAGGGGTCTGAATACTTTCTGAATGGACTGTATATTGTGTACTGTATAGTTTCTCTCCAGTTCTTTACAACTTCATGTTATTCATAGTCAATTCTGCACCTTTTGTGGAAAAATATTCTATATGATGCTCTGAGCTATATTGTACGTCATTTTTGACTTATTTAAGTATAAAGAAATATTTCTATGCGTTTCTGTTCCCAAATGTGTGGACATCAAATATTTGTTTCTGTATAAAATTATACTTCGTATTTTATTACACAGAGGCTGGGGATGTCGGTCTTTGCCAAAATGTTAGTTTCAAATGCTGGACTTATTTAAAACTACACTTACCTTGTTTAAGTGCCATATAAACTCAGCAAAAAAAGAAATGTCCTCTCACTGTCAACTGCGTTTATTTTCAGCAAACTTAACGTGTAAATATTTGTATGAACATAAGAAGATTCAACAACTGAGACATAAACTGAACAAGTTCCACAGACGTGACTAACAGAAATGGAATAATGTGTCCCTGAACAAAGGGGGGGTCAAAATCAAAAGTAACAGTCAGTATCTGGTGTGGCCACCAGCTGCATTAAGTACTGCAGTGCATCTCCTCCTCATGGACTGCACCAGATTTGCCAGTTCTTGCTGTGAGATGTTATCCCACTCTTCCACCAAGGCACCTGCAGGTTTCCAGACATTTCTGGGGGGAATGACCCTAGCCCTCACCCTCCGATCCAACAGGTCCCAGACGTGCTCAATGGGATGAGATCCGGGCTCTTCGCTGGCCATGGCAGAACACTGAGATTCCTGTCTTGCAGGAAATCACGCACAGAACGAGCAGTATGGCTGGTGGCATTGTCATGCTGGAGGGTCATGTCAGGATGAGCCTGCAGGAAGGCTACCACATGAGGGAGGAGGATGTCTTCCCTGTAACCACAGCATTGAGATTGCCTGCAATGACAACAAGCTCAGTCCGATGATGCTGTGACACACCACCCCAGACCATGACAGATCCTCCACCTCCAAATCGATCCCACTCCAGAGTACAGGCCTCGGTGTAACGCTCATTCCTTCAACGATAAACGCGAATCCGACCATCACCCCTGTCCTGTCTGGTCCAGCGACGGTGGGTTTGTGCCCATAGGGGACGTTGTTGCCGGTGATGTCTGGTGAGGACCTGCCTTACAACAGGCCTACAAGCCCTCAGTCCAGTCTCTCTCAGCCTATTGCGGACAGTCTGAGCACTGATGGAGGGATTGTGCGTTCCTGGTGTAACTCGGGTAGTTGTTGTTACCATCCTGTACCTGTCCGGCAGGTGTGATGTTCAGATGTACCGATCCTGTGCAGGTGTTGTTACACTTGGTCTTCCACTGCGAGGACGATCAGCTGTCCGTCCTGTCTCCCAGTAGCGCTGTCTTAGGCGTCTCACAGTACGGACATTGCAATTTATTGCCCTGGCCACATCTGCAGTCCTCATGCCTCCTTGCAGCATACAGTTGAAGTCGGAAGTATACATACACCTTAGCCAAATACATTTCAACTCAGTTTTTCACAATTCCTGACATTTAATCGTAGTAAAAATGATGTCTTAGGTCAGTTAGGATCACCACTTTATTTTAAGAATGTGAAATGTCAGAATAATAGTAGAGTGATTTATTTCAGCTTTTATTTCTTTCATCACATTCCCAGTGGGTTAGAAGTTTACATACACTCAATTAGTATTTGGTAGCATTGCCTTTAAATTGTTTAACTTGGGTCAAACATTTCGGGTAGCCTTCCACAAGCTTCCCAAAATAAGTTGGGTGAATTTTGGCCCATTCCTCATTTAAGTTTACATTTACGTCATTTAGCAGACGTTCTTATCCAGAGCGACTTACAAATTGGCGCATTCAACTTATGAGAGCCAGTGGGATAACCACTTTTTTTATGGGGGGGTGGGGGAGGGGGGGTAGAAGCCATTTTGTATACATCTGGCCCTTCATTGGACACTGTGTTAACAAACCTCCAAACAAGCTTCAATGCCATACAACAATCCTTCAGTAGCCTCCAACTGCTCTTAAACACTAGTAAAACTAAATGCATGCTTTTCAATCGAACGCTGCTGGCACCCGCCCACCCGACTAGAATCACCACTCTCGACGGGTCTGACCTAGAGTATGTGGACAACTACAAATACCTAGGTGTCTGGTTAGACTGTAAACTCAACTTCCAGACTCACATAAAGAATCTCCAATCCAAAGTTAAATGTAGAATCGGCTTCCTATTTCGCAACAAAGCCTCCTTCACTCATGCTGCCAAACATGCCCTCGTAAAACTGACTATCCTACCGATCCTTGACTTCGGCGATGTCATTTACAAAATAGCCTCCAACACTCTACTCAGCAAATTGGATGTAGTCTATCACAGTGCCATCCGTTTTGTCTCCAAAGCCCCATACACTACCCACCACTGTGACCTGTACGCTCTTGTTGGCTGGTCCTCACTACATGTTCGTCGTCAAACCCACTGGCTCCAGGCCATCTATAAATCACTGCTAGGCAAATCCCCGCCTTATCTTAGCTCATTGGTCACCATAGCAGCACCCACCCGTAGTCTGCGCTCCAGCAGGTATATCTCACTGGTCATTCCCAAAGCCAACACCTCCTTTGGCCGCCATTCCTTCCAGTTCTCTGCTGCCAATGACTGGAACGAATTGCAAAAATCTCTGAAGCTGGAGACTCTTATCTCCCTCAATAACTTTAAGCATCAGTTGTCAGAGCACCTTACCGATCACTGCACCTGTAGACAGCCCATCTGAAATTAGCCCACCCAACTACCTCATCCCTATATTGTTATTTATTTTGCTCTTTTGCACCCCAGTATCTCTATTTGCACATAATCTCTTGCACATCTAGCATTCCAGTGTTAATACTATTGTAATTATTCTGCACTATAGCCTATTTATTGCCTTACCTCCATAACTTGCTACATTTGCACACACTGTATATATATTTTCTGTTGTATTTCTGACTTTATGTTTTTTACCCCATATGTAACTCTGTGTTGTTTTTATTGCACTACTTTGCTTTATCTTGGCCAGGTCGCAGTTGTAAATGAGAACCTGTTCTCAACTGGCTTACCTGGTTAAATAAAGGTGAAATAAAAAAAAATAAAGGAGGAGGATTCAGCAGGGAGGAGAAGGTGGCAAAGAGCTTCCTAGGGTTAGAGGCAGAGGCTTGAAATTTAGAGTGGTAGAAAGGGGCTTTAGCAGCAGAAACAGAGGAAGAGAATGTAGAGAGGAGGGAGTGAAAAGATGACAGGTCCGCGGGGAGTCTAGTTTTCCTCCATTTCCGCTCGGCTACCCGGAGCCCTGTTCTGTGAGCTTGCAACGAGTCGTCAAGCCACGGGGCAGGAGGGGAGGACCGAGCCGGCCGGGAGGTAAACAATTGTAGGAAAAATGACTTGTGTCATGCACAAAGTAGATTGCCTAACCGACTTGCCAAAACTATAGTTTGTTAACAAGAAATTTGTGTAGTGGTTGAAAAACTAGTTTTAATGACTCCAACCTAAGTGTATGTAAACTTCCGACTTCAACTGTACCTAAGGTACGTTCACGCAGATGAGCAGGGACCCTGGGCATCTTTCTTTTGGTGTTTTTCAGAGTCAGTAGAAAGGCCTGTTTAGTGTCCTAAGTTTTCATAACTATGACTTTAATTGCCTACCGTCTGTAAGCTGTTAGTGTCTTAACGACCGTTCCACAGGTGCATGTTCATTAATTGTTTATGGTTCATTGAACAAGCATGGGAAACAGTGTTTAAATGCTTTACAATGAAGATCTGTGAAGTTATTTGGATTTTTACAAATTATATATAGTGATGTGCTTAGCAAACTTTAGGCATTGTTTCTGCCTACATTTTTGGTTATTTCTAATAAGATCCAACCCTTACTGTAAAACATTTTTGGAAGACAGTAAGACTAATGGGTTTTTTTTTATGGTTCTAGCTGTTCTGCAGTGTTTTTTTCTCTCACTTTGACATGAACAGTAGCACTTTATTCTGTATCTTGTGGTATGAGTGCATGTCAGACCATATAGAGAAATAACTAATATAATTTTGAGAAAATCACACAAAGCTAAATTATTAAATCTTTTTCATTAAAGCACTGTTTGTTTTCTGTGTTTAGTGTTGTGATTTCATGGATGATCAGCCAGTCCCATCAAGGAGGATTTCCAGAAAGTCTTCTTTACAATAAAAAGGTGATGACTCAATACTGGAAAACAGTGTGCATTCACTGCACTGTATGCAGATCCACACACTTGAATTTGTTCAGTGATGGAGATTTGACAAGACATGCAGGACTCACTACACCCCAATTTAGTGTGTTATTCTTAGCAATATACGGTGTACAAAACATTAAGAACACCTTCCTAATGTTGAGTTGCACCCCCTCCCCCTTGTCCTCAGAACAGCCTCAATTCGTCAGGGCATGGACTCTACAAGGTGTCAAGCGTTCCACAGGGATGCTGGCCCATGTTGACTCCAATGCTTCCCACAGTTGTGTCAAGTTGGCTGGATGTCCTTTGGGTGGTGGACCATTTTTGATGCACACAGGAAACTTGAGCGTGGAAAAATCCAGCAACATTGCAGTTCTTGACACAAACCAGTGGGCCTGGCAGCTATTACTATACCCTGTTCAAAGGCACTTAAATATTTTGTCTTGCCCATTCACCCTCTGAATGGCACACATACACAATCCATGTCTCAATTGTCTCAAAGCTTAAAAAACCTGTCTCCTCCCCTTCTACACTGATTGAAATGGATTTGACAAGTAACATCAATAAGGGATCATAGTTTTAACCTGGATTCACCTGGTCAGTCTATGTCATGGAAAAAGAGCAGGTGCCCTTAATGTTTTGTACACTGTGTATATAATATATATCAAATAATATGTATGTATTTTTTTTGTTTTACTCATGCACCGAAAGGCTGTTGTCCCCAACTGCATGCCAGTATGCTGCAATAATAGCAACACACTCACTGGGAGTCAGTCCGGTACGTTAACCTTTTTACTTCCATATCCTTCCCATTTCAGCATCCCTCACCCTTGGTTTGATCAGTGTATTACAGCCCTAGGAGTCAGAGATGATGGCAGTTTTTACCCTTGAGGCATGAATAACTGTCTTTCACCCTTAATCCCAGAGAGGATGAGGTGTTTCGATCCTGACTAAAGATCCGTATGAGTCAGAAACTCCATACAGCACCTCTCCTATTTTGCAGTCTAAACACATGGAAAGGTTTTGGAGTTGACGCGGGGTCTCATATTTTTCCCAGATTCATTTCTAGGAGTTTACAGATTTAGACAGCAGAAGTGTTAATCAACCATCTCTAGCTAAACAACCTCTGCTGTCATCACACTCACGCGTGAATTCTGACGTGCTGCTCCAATCGTGAACGATTCATTTAGTCGGTTTAGAATAGAACAGGGATCCTCCCCCGTGCGGGTGGCGGACAGACAGTCTTGCAGATACGCTGTTAGTAGGGCGACACCCGACTACCGGATAACAATGAGCGATATTTCAAGATATTCAACCAATTAACAAAATAATAAATAGGTAGCTAGGTAGGTAACGTGATCTGCGGTGTTTATCGCATTAATGTAAAGATGGCGAGAGTTTTCCACAACTTGCTCATGTTTACAATGGGACTCACGCTGAGGATCCGAGTTTTGGGGTATTGGTCGTTGATATACGGTTATTGTGGCCTCTGCACTGCCGTAGCGCTGCTGAAACTTTGGTGGAACATCATTTTAAGGCCGTCAACAACCTTCCAGTGGGGAATTCGCGAAACTCCCCCTGCATGCCTGAACGACACGTCCTTGGGAACCCACTGTTATGTTAGAATAAAGGTAAGGCACAGCTGGTGAGAGGGATTAGGAAATAGCCTTTTGTGTTTATGAGAGGTCTGCATAGGTAATTTTGTATGCGCCTAGCTTGCCTGTAGCATTGAAATCAGAAATAAATCAAAATAGGCCTTCAGGCTACATGCAAATCGTGGGCGCATCTGTTTATTCATTTTTTTTGGCATTTCAGGGAAACGTTATGCAGGTATAAGATTTTCAGTGTAGGTAGGTTACTGTTATTATTGTCTGCGCTCACTTCTGAGGTAGTGCTGAAAAGAGCTCCCTAGTAGCAGCAGCTATATTATCCTGTTGTGATTCGTGACAAATGTCAGTCCGAGAATGAAGGGAGGCTAAACTGTAGATTCACCTTTTAATTTGTATTTTCTGTTTAAATGTTTATTTATGAACACAATATCCCCCATATGCCTGCCCATAATAATAATGTGGCAGTTCAGTTGTAAGAATAATATCTGTCACTTGAAATCCAAAGTAACTGGGATTTAACTTTGTGTCAGTAAATAGCCAAGCTACATTTCGCCAGAATAAACTTGAGCTGTGTATCTGGGGTAATTAGGATACTGTGATGTTGTTCACAATCAGAAGTGAGATACTGAAAAATATGTCTAGGTTGTAGAATCGAAGGACCATTAAAAATAGGGGGAAAACATAGGTGCTGGTTTTAGGCCGGTGGCAACCACGAAAGGGTTCCGTCCAGAACAAGAGGAAGCAGTATTTCAGTTTCAGGGGGTTTAATAAATGATCCACATACACATCCAACACCACTCTGACAGTATGAGAATGATTGTGGTTTTATATTATGCACGCACAAATACAGCTAAAACATGGTGGAACTTGGACTTCTGAGGACAACTCACGAAGTCTACACCACAACCAGGGTTTCCAGGTCATGCTACAATATCGAGCCCAATGACCACTCAAAACCCGCCCAAAAGGCCTGAAAACTAGCCCCATGTTTTTTTCACAGCAAGAGAGGAGTTGCCATATTTATACAATACCACTTTTTTCCATAACGTTATCGAGCCAATTAAGACGGAATATCATAGTAACTTGAAACGACGTTAGAAGCAAAATTCGGGGTTCCTCAAAATAATAATTATTGCAAGCTATGACATGACCTTATAAAGGAATTTGAATATGTGGCAAGAGAAAGGATAATTCGCCCTTATTAAACTCGCCTGATCATTTGCACAAGGGGTTATGGTATATTGCCAATATACCACGGCTAAGGGCTGTTCTTAAGCATGATGCAACGCTGGGCTCCCGAGTGGCGCAGCGGTCTAAGGCACTGCATCTCAGTGCTTGAGGCGTCACTACAGACCCCTGGTTCGATTCCAGGCTGTATCACAACCGGCCGTGATTGGGAGTCCCATAGGGCTGCGCACAATTGGCCCAGCGTCGTCCGGGTTTGGCCGGTGTAGGCGTCATTGTAAATAAGAATGTGTTCTTAACTGACTTGCCTAGTTAAATAAAGGTTAAATAAAAAATATACCGCAAATGCTGAGGGGTGCTTTATTGCTATTATGAACTGGTTACCAACGTAATTACAACAGTAACAATTAATGTTTTGTCATAAGCTTGGTATATGGTCTGATATACCACGGCTTTCAGCCAATTCAGGGCTCGAACCAGGTTTATAATTGTAAATAAATCCCCCTTTGCGCATGTGCATAGCTATAGATAAATCAAACAGGAGAGTTTGAGTGATGAAAGTTGGACAGAGGATCTCGAAACACTTGGCTGAACATAAAAAACAAATGTTAGGCTATTTTCTGGCAATTGTGCTGTTATTATGTGCCAAATGGTAAGACTACAAATGGCCCCTTTGCGAGATTGACTTATCATTTCAATAGGCATAGGCTACAGACTAAAATCTGGGTTTATGATTGTAATTCCATTTTGCCATGGTTTGCTTGGATAAAGGCAGGTAGCCTATAGCCCTTGATAGGCCTACATCTCATTTCAGATAGTCTACAGTAGCCTAGGCAAGATGTAGGCAAGATGTAAACTGAACGATTTAGCAGCTTGCTTAGTTCAAATGAACAGACTAATTTATTCAACATGAATAGTGAGGCGATTTGGACACACCTACTCATTCAAGTGTTTTTCTTTATTTTACTATTTTCTACATTGTAGAATAATAGTGAACACATCAAAACTATGAAATAACACATATGAAATCATGTAGTAACCAAAAAAGTGTTAAACAAATCAAAATATATTTTAAATTTGAGATTCTTTAAATAGCCACCCTTTGATGACAGCTTTGCACACTCTTGGCATTCTCTCAACCAGCTTCACCTGGAATGCTTTTCCAACAATCTTGAAGGAGTTACCACATATGCTGAGAACTTGTTGGCTGCTTTTCCTTCACTCTGCAGTCCATCTCATCCCAAACCATCTCAATTGGGTTGAGGTCGGGTGATTGTGGAGGCCAGGTCATCTAATGCAGCACTCCATCACTCTCCTTCTTGGTCAAATAGCCCTTACACAGCCTTTAGGTGTGTTGGGTCATTGTCCTGTTGAAAAACAAATGATAGTCCCACTAAGCCCAAACCAGATGGGATGGCGTTTCGCTGCAGAATGCTGTGGTAGCCATGCTGGTTAAGTGTGCCGGCAGGTAGCTTAGTAGTTAAGAGCGTTGTGCCAGTAACCGAAAGGTCGCTGGTTCTAATCCCCGAGCCGACTAGGTGAAAAATATGTCTGTGACCTTTGCAAGGCACTTAACCTTAATTGCTCCTGTAAGTCGCTCTGGATAAGAGTGTCTGCTAAATGACAACAAAAAAAAAATCTAAATAAATCACAGACAGTGTCACCAGCAAAGCACCCCCACAACATAACACCTCCTCCTCCATGCTTTACGGTGGGAACTACACATGCGGAGATCATCCGTTCACCCACATGCGTCTCACAAAGACACGGCGGTTGGAACCACAAATCTCAAATTTGGACTCCAGACCAAAGGACACATTTCCACTGGTCTAATGTCCATTGCTCGTGTTTCTTGGCCCAAACAGGTCTCATCTTCTTATTGGTGTCCTTTAGTAGTGGTTTCTTTGCAGCAATTTGACAATGAAGGCCTGATTCACACAGTCCCCTCTGAACAGTTGATGTTGAGATGTGTCTGTGACTTGAACTCTGTGAAGCATTCATTTGGGATACAATTTCTGAGGCTGGTCACTCTAATGAACTTATCCTCTGCAGCAGAGGTAACTCTGGGTCTTCCATTCCTGTGGCGGTCCTCATGAGAGCCAGTTTAATCATAGCGCTTGATGGTTTTTGCGACTGCACTTGAAGAAACTTTCAAAGTTCTTGACATTTTCTGTATTGACTGACCTTCGTGTCTTAAAGTAATGATGGACTGTTGTTTCTCTTTGCTTATGTGAGCTGTTCTTGCCATAATATGGACTTTGATCTTTTACCAAATAGGGCTATCTTCTGTACACCCTCCCCTACCTTTTCACAACACAACTGATTGGCTCAAACACATTAAGAAGGAAAGAAATTCCACAAATTAACTTTTAAGAAGGCACACCTGTTAATTGAAATGCATTCCAGGTGACTACCTCATGAAGCTGGTTGAGAGAATGCCAAGAGTGTGCAAAGCTGTCATCAAGGCAAACCCTTGAATGAGTAGGTGTGTCCAAACTTTTGACTGGTAGTGTATATGAACTGAATATGCTCGTCAACAACAGCCACTGTTTATTTTTTAGAATTTGTTTTACCGATATCCTAATCTGACTACTGTTACTGTCAATCTAATGTAACAACTGATCAGCAATTGCGATAGAGCTTTGATAATTTCCAATTTAATAAACTAAACATGTCCATTAATAATTGCATAACAACACAAGGCTACAACAACAATAAACTGAAGTTATAGGTTATTTATTAAATTGGTTTGCCGGCTCGAGGTAGGCTACACAAGTGGCACAAATTGATTAGCAATGACTACATTGATTTTGTAATTTCATCATATTTATTGTATCAAATGGTAGTCTACAATGGCATATACATTAATAGGCTAGTTGATGGCCAACAGAGGCAAATTGATCATTCTTCAGATTTATCCTAATGTCAGTTTCATTGGGGACTTCCCACCCCCATAAAAAGAACCACGCGAGGGACTTCCATAACTTCCATTTCAAATTTCCACTTGGTTAGCCCCCGTGACCCAAGAACTGAGCATGCATAAAGCACTTTGATTGATCCTGATTTCTTTAAGCAGTCAACATTAGAATGCAGTTCAAACCACCTCCGAGCGTATTTATGTAATGCGCCCAAAGTCGTTTTCCAGTGCTTTGTCTCCATTCTTTCTTGATGTGCATCAGTTCTAGCATATTAATGTTTTATGAAAAATGGGTTGGAAATAGGTGACTCCATAATGACAATCTAAATAGCCTACCTACAACTGGTAAAACGTTGTCACAACGTGACTCGGCCAATAGCTGTACTGCTCTCTCAACACACAACACACTCCTCCGGCCCTCCCCACCACTCACTCACTCAGCAACAGCCTGTCTCACTGCCTGACAGTCAGCAGCAGGTCACAGTGAAGTATATACATATTTTTAAGAGAAATGCCATGGCGGCCGCGGTGCAACTTAGAAATAGCCCAAAAACCCGCAACCCGCGACAAATACATTTTAACCCGCGACATCGTTTTCAATGTAGCCCAATTTGGCGGAAAAAACGTGAACATGGCAACATTGATCACAACTCACTGGCTGGAGGTGGGACAAGTGATAGAGAATGTCTCTGATTGGTTAGAAACGGAAGGGTGAGGAGCTGTTGGGCATTCTAACTAAGGGGACAAACTAGGGATGCATAGAGACTTACCATAACTGACTGCATGGCCGTTTTTACAGCTGCCCCCAAATGTGTTGTATAGATTTGCACTCAATAACAAAGGGCAGCAAGGGCAGACAGTCACTGAGAGGGATGACTTGAAGACTTGTGGTCATCCAGCGAGGCAGAGACGTTAACCAGACGGGCGACTGGTCTACCAGATGTCCTGTCTCTTGGTGCAGCTGGCCGCCCCGTCACAAAGGTGCTTGAGGTCAGCAGATCAGGGTGTGTGACATGGCAGGGGCCAGTGTAGGCTGTAAGGCTGTTCTGGAAGATGGGAGCCAACAGGAAGCAGTGAAGGCTTGTAAGGCCCCCCAGCGGAGGAGCTGGAGTTATCTTGACCCCCGGCATGGTCTCAACAAGGACCCTGGGACTGGATACTTTGGTGGCTGGATCCATAAAGTAGCAACGGGTGGTTGCCACCTGACAGGCTGGACCCAGGCAGAGGGACCAGGTGAAGGCCCCGGATCAGGAGGTCGTGCTGCAGCAGGAAGACCAGACGAAGGCCCCGGGACTGCAGATGGCAAGGTCGCAGGTCTCAACGAAGGTTTCAGGACTGGGGACCGCAGGGCCACAGCAGAGCTTAACGAGGGCCTCCGGACTGAAGACGGTGAGGGCGCCCACGTCAGCGACAGGAGCGGCCCCCAGGACAGGAGCTGAGATCAACTGGATCCCCACAGCAGCGACATGCAGAGATCTCAGGACAGGAGACAGCTGCACACCTGAAAGAGAGGGAGATAAAGACCCAAAGGTGGGAGAATCTGGAACCCTGGGTCCAGGAGAAAATGACTGCGTGACCAGAGCTGTTGACTTGGGGCCTGACAGAGCTAGTGACTTGGGGCCTGACTGGGCTACAGACTGTGAGCTAGGGGATGTTATATCTATCAGGACAGAACGCTCTGGGCCTTCTGGGATAGGAAATTGAGGACTAAGGCAGCCTCCCGCACCTCTCTGATTCAGAGGGGTTGGGTTAAATGTGGGAAACACATTTCGGTTGAATGCATTCAGTTGTGCAACTGACTAGGTATCCCCTTTCCCTAGGTGATCAGGGAACTGAGGGCTAAGATGCTCTGGACCTACTGAGGCTATAGACTGAGGACCTAGTAGGGTAGAGAGTGAGGTGTCTCCTATGACAAGACACTGAACACCTCGGTCAGGAGGGTCTCCCAAGGCTGGAGCTAGCGGGACACAGTTCGGAGGGGCTGGCAAGAACCCCAAGGCTAAGACTGGCAGGGACTTACCAGGCCTGGACAGCAGACACGGTCCGAGCCACTGCAGCAGAGACTGGAGGGGTTTCCAGGGAGGAGCAGGGAGACATCTTTGGACAGCAGCAGGCTGGACGTCGAAGGTAGGACTAGGCAGATCCCACCAGGCAGGGACCGGAAAGGGCTGAGTGGCAGGGCTGGACTTGGCGCCTACAGCAGCTGCATGCAGTGCTCCCACATTATGGACCACCTGACATTCAGAGGTGTCGGATGGAGTAGGAGTAGGCTTCTCACTCAGGGTGAACTCTGGCAGCTCCTCCGTCCTTTGAGAAGTATGTAGGTCTTCCTACTCGCGAACAGTCAGGGATGTGAGGATTGATCTTGGGTCCAGAACAGGGGTCGGCAAAACCTCTGTCATTGGAGACGGCGATGGCACCACTGGGTACCAGTTGAGACTCTGCGACAGGAGCTGGTTGGAACACCGTGGGGTGCTCCCCCAGGGTGAGCTTGGGTAGCTCCTCTGTCCCTGGAGAAGACTGTAGAACCGCTGGACCTCATTCTGGCGCTTCTGTTGTAGTATCTGTTGCATGACAATCTCTGAGATGATGTCATCAACTTCTTGGGCAGCTTGGTGGCACAAGTCACTGTTCTCCTCCTCTAAGACTTATTTCAGTTGTAAGAAGAGAGAACTGTTGAAGGACTGGCTGAGCCAGTCAGATGACAACTGGCAGTGTCCATCAGGTAAATACTGGCAACGGTGATCGGGTGGACTGTAGGAACCGTCCATCTTCCTGACTGCTTTAATAAGTTCATCAATCGAATCACGCTGGCTGTGTAAACGCAGCCAGCGTTGTCACTGGCGGTCCATGCTCAGCTCGACACTAAAACATGGTGCAACTTGTCTTCAGAGGAGAACTCAGTGTCCACTTGTCTTCACCGCAACTCACTGGTTGGAGGCGGGACTTACAACGCGAAAGTGACAGAGAATGTCTCTGGTTAGAAATAGAAGGGTGATTGACTAAGAGGATGTCCGGCATTCTAACTAAAAGGACAAACTAGGGTTGCATAGAGACATACCATAACTGACTGCATGGCTGTTTTTACAGATACAGTAAGCTACAAGTCCATGCATATGAACTAAAACCAAACAAATGAATTCACAAATTACTCAATGGTTTGACCATAAAAACAACCTATTCTACAAACCATTAAAACATGAATGTACAATAATTTGAATAAAATTGGCTATAAATGTCAGTGACAGATTTTATAATATACAGAATGTGTCATACTGGAATGACCAGACGGCAGGCCAGGGCTGAGTTTATGCAATGGCCCTGCTCTGTCCCTGTTCTATCCCTGTTTTACAGTGCCATAAAGCACACCGTGATGTTGGAGGATGAGAGTTTTATGTCACAGAGAGTAGACAGTATCTTCATCCTAAATGGCACCATATTCCCTACATCAGGGCTGCCCCAACCCTCTTCCTGGAGATCTACTGTCCTGTAGGTTTTCAGTCCAACCCTCATTTAGCATATCTGATTCAGCTAGTTAAGGTCTTGTTGAGCAGCTAATAAGTAGAATCAGGTGTGTTAAATTACGGTTTGACTGAAAAGCCACAGGACGGTAGATCTCCAGGAAGACGGTTGGGCAGCCCTGTCCTATATAGTGCACTAGGACTCTGGTCAAAAGAAGTGCACTGGAATAGGGCTAATGCAACTGTAAGTTGCTCTGGATAACAGCTTCTGCTAAATGACTAATTTGGGGTGCAGCCAGAGAGCAGTAACAGCCTATGTGATAGAGGGCAGGGAAGGGATGACATCATATTATAGTGTGTCCCTGGTGACTGACTGATCTCTGTCTTCTGTCTCTGTCTTTATTCTCAGGAGTCTGGTCTGAGGTTTCACTATGTTGCTGCTGGAGCGAGAGGGAAACCACTCATGCTGTTTTTGCATGGCTTCCCAGAGTTTTGGTAAGACATCTAGACTACACACTGCATCTGCACATTATATACACATATGGGGCCGGTATCCCGACCCGGACACAGATTAAGCCTAGTCCTGGACTAAAAGGCACTTTCAATAGAAATTCTTAATTTATCTTGCTTTTTTGTCCAGGAATATCTTGTCTTAATATAGACTAAACTGTTGTATTGTTATTGCCTGTCAGGTTAAGTTTTGTTTTGTCTATTTGTGTTTTTATAGTGAAAGCATTTTGGAAAGGAGCTCTATTATAAACTAACCAACCAGTTTCCCATGAATCACCAACCCCATACAGTAGCCCACTGCTGTATCGACCCCATACAACATTATTCTAGCTTGGGTGTCCAATCAAAAACAAATTTTTTGACCAATGGGTAAAATAATATGTTAATTATGTAGGTACTCCTCTAAGAAAACCTAATGTCTCTATCATAATCCGTTCAAAAATTATTGGAGTTTTTACTTGTTTTATAAAACAAGAGGTAAGATAGATATCGATTTTGAGACATGACATGTAGTATTTTCATATTTTAGTATACGCTTTTCATATTAATGTGAAATTCCTGTTATTTTTCTAAGATTTCTCAGTAAAACAAGCATATCTTTGTGAAATGTCAACAGAGCACTGAGCGTACCCAAAGGTTTTTATTTTCAACACCTTTTACATTTAATTCAGCTCGTATCATGTTAATTTAGATTTTTGAGACCCGCGGAAATAACTTTGCAGAAGATGTAAAATCCTCAAAAGTCGCTGCGAGAAGCGGTACCGCGCTGTCAACAGAGCTCGGTGCTTATTATCGGATGCATTAGGTTACGAAATACGACTTTTTGGATATAATGTTAATGATATGTTACAGAAAGACCCCACTGAACGATTCAGAACATGATCATATTTGTCTTGGTAAAATATATTTTATAACATAAGGAAGTGAAATTTCAGCACCAAAGCGCGTTTTCACTCTATGTAACCAACGCTTTGACCTCTTCTCTACTGTACATTGCTACTGCATTATAAGAACATCTCATAGTTGAGATCTTCATACTACAGTATGGCCTGTAAGGCTCAGTTGGTAGAGCATGGTGCTTGCAATGCCAGGATTGTGGGTTCGATTCCCGTGCAACCCAGACGTAGAATGTATGCACGCATGACTGTAAGTTGCTTTGGATAAAAGCGTCTGCTAAATGGCATAGATTTTATACAGTGAGCTCAAAAGGTATTGGGACAGTCACACATTTTTTGTTTTGGCTCTGTGCTTGAAATTTGAAATAATACAATGACTGAGGTTAAAGTGCAGACTGTCAGTTTTAATTAGAGGGTATTGTCATCCATATCGGGTGAATCGTTTAGAAATTACAGCGCTTTTTGTACATAGTCCTCCCATTTTAGGGGACCAAAAGTATTGGGACAAATTCACTTATGTTTATTAAAGTAGTCAAGTAGTATTTGGTCCCAGATTCCTAGCACGCAATAATTACCTCAAGCTTGTGACTCTACAAACTTGTTGGATGCATTTGCTGTTTGTTTTGGTTGTGTTTCAGATTATTTTGTGCCCAATAGAAATGAATGGTCAATAATGTATTGTCATTTTGGAGTCACTTTTATTGTAAATAAGAATAGAATATATTTCTAAACACTTCTACATTAATGTGGATGCAACCATGATTACGGATAGTTCTGAGTGAATGAGTGAGAAAGTTAGACGCACAAATATCATAGCCCCCCCCCCAAAAAATGCTAACCTCCCCTGTTTTTGTAATGGTGAGAGGTTAGCATGTCTTGGGGGTATGATATTTGTACGTCAAACTTTCTCACTCATCATAATTCACTAAATATCATACCCCCAAGACATGCTAACCTCTCACCATTACAATAACAGGGGAGGTTATCATTACTAAACCTTTGACCACTTTAATACACATAAGGGAATTAGTCGCAATACTTTTGGTCTCCTAAAATGGGGGGGACTATGTACAAAAAGTGCTGTAATTTCTAAACGGTTCACCCGATTTATGGATGAAAATGTACCGTAATTGTATCATTTCCAATCTAAAGTGCTGGAGTACAGAGCCAAAACAACCAAAAATGTGTCACTGTCCCAATACTTTTGGAGCTCACTGTATATTATTAATGAACGGGTCTTCTTGGGTCTATTCCGCCTCACTGCCCATCTACTGCACAGGAATTAATGATGAACTCTCATGTATCCCAAATGGCACCCTATTCTGTATATAGTGCACTACTTTTGACCAGAACCCTATGGGCACTGGTCAAAAGTAGTGTGCTATATAGGGAATAGTGTGCCTTTTGGGATGTCTCTCTGCCTTGCTAGCTGGACAGAAAGACTCTTACACTTACGACTTTCTTCTCCCAATTATTTCAGTGTTAAAAAAGTACTAAACCCAAGCTTCCCTATTCACTCTGAATAGAGAGAGGGTTTGGGTGTGGGGGGTTGGTGTTTGAGATGGGGTTATGTGGAGGAACTGGAAGTGCCTGTGTTATTTTAAACCTCATCTATATTCTAAGACGTTGGGTTTCTCTGTTCCAGATCGGTGTCCCAAATGGCACCCTATTCCCTAGTGCACTACTTTTAACCAGGGCCCGTAGGACTCTGGTCAAAAGTAGTGCACTATATAGGGAATAGGGTGTCATTTGGGACACCGCCCAGCTCTTATCCTGACTCATCAGAACCCCAGTCAGGCCTTGTGGTCCTCCTCTATGGGGGTTTCATTCTGAGGAGCCTCGGCCTCCAGTCCACAGCAGACAAGATCTTCAATTAGAGAGCTTTTCCTCTCCACTATGATGACACTGAGGATTAGAATCGAGGGGAAAAAACATCTATTATACAAAGGTGACCTGCACTCAGTTTGGAAGGGAAGAAGGGAAACTGAGTGCCAGTAGAAATAATGCAGTTAAGGATATATCAACTTTGTGGGTGTATTCAAGAGAGAAACACAGTTGATCTGTAAGTGGTTTTTCAACTGTGTGCACTATACTGAATGTCGTCTTTTGATTGCAGTAGTGAAGATAGGGTTTAATTATGAAGTACTGTCCTGTGTGACTTTCCCATGTCATTAAGACGAAGATGGTTGTTGTGTGTATCTCTTTGTCTCTCTCCCTCTCTTTCAACCTCTCTCTGTCTCTTTGTCTCTCTCTCTTTCTCTCTCTCCCTCTCTTTCAACCTCTCTCTGTATCTTTGTCTCTCTCTCTTTGTCTCTCTCGCTCTCTCCCTCTCTTTCAACCTCTCTCTGTCTCTTTGTCTCTCTCTCTGTCTCTCTCGCTCTCTCCCTCTCTTTCAACCTCTCTCTGTCTCTTTGTCTCTCTCTCTTTGTCTCTGTCTCTCTCTCGGGATGTCTGTCTATCTGCCTCCAGGTTTTCCTGGCGCCACCAGCTGCGTGAGTTTAAGAGTGAGTACCGTGTGGTGGCTGTTGACATGCGAGGCTACGGGGAGTCTGACTTGCCATCATCCACAGAGAGCTACCGCTTTGACTACCTGGTCACAGACGTCAAGGACATTGTGGAATACCTAGGTGAGAGTGGACAACCACATCTTTTATCTGTATCTTATATCAATGTTTTCATTAGTTTACTTAGTTTATACACAAAGACACAAGGAGACAGGTGTATGTTGTATATATGATGGAAGATTTAAAAAAACATGCCCACTCTGATTCACTGATGAACACTTTCGGGACCATGACTACCCGTATTATGAAACATCACTCCATGGGGACAAAGAGAGAGGGTGACACAGCCTGGTGTATTGAGCTGAGTCAAAGTTTCTCATTGTAGCTATACTGTGTGGATTGGACAGCCTGTGGAACACCCGTGGGCCCACAACACAGCAGGACATGACAGGCTTCCTCTGACTCATGGTGACTGACTATGGGTAGTCGTGCTGACACATAATGCACGCGCACACACACACACTACAGAGCTGGCAGCACGGAGCACACTCACTCAGTGAAACTGGAAGCATTCATAGACCTGGGGGCCTCTATGTAAGACCAGTGTCCCTCACCTTGTGTAAGGCTGATATTTCAAATAGCAGTACAACTGACAGTATTATTTGCTTTACATGGAAAAGAATGTCAATTTTTACAACAAAGAAGATGAGCTGTGGTCATAATATATTATATTCATCATGCAATACTCCTGCCCAAAACACAAAACATAATCTGTTGCACTTGCACACCAGACTGGCTCCGTTGTTTCCAATAAGCTGACTAGGAAGATGACTGATACGCTGAATAATCAGGCATCACATTGTTTTCACTGTACACTGTAATAGGATTGTTCTTCTTCAGGAGGTATCTTGGCAAGAAGGCTCAACTGAGAGAAGGTGAATGGATGGTGCTGGACATGCGCGCACACACTCACAGACTCTCCTCCATCTCTCCTCAGGTTACAACAGATGTTACCTGGTCGGCCATGATTGGGGAGGAACCATCGCCTGGCTGTTCGCCATCCACTACCCCGAGATGGTGACCAAACTCATTGTCCTAAATTGCCCCCATCCCTCTGTCTTCACTGGTAGGTCCTAAACTGCCTCCATCCCTCTGTGTTTACTGATAGGTCCTCAAACTGCCCCCATCCCTCTGTGTTTACTGATAGGTCCTCAAACTGCCCCCATCCCTCTGTGTTTACTCATAGGTCCTCAAACTGCCCCCATCCCTCTGTGTTTACTGATATGTCCTCAAACTGCCCCATCCCTCTGTGTTTACTGATAGGTCCTCAAACTGCCCCCATCCCTCTGTGTTTACTGATAGGTCCTCAAACTGCCCCCATCCCTCTGTGTTTACTGATAGGTCCTCAAACTGCCCCCATCCCTCTGTGTTTACTGATAGGTCCTCAAACTGCCCCCATCCCTCTGTGTTTACTGATAGGTCCTCAAACTGCCCCCATCCCTCTGTGTTTACTGATAGGTCCTCAAACTGCCCCCATCCCTCTGTGTTTACTGATAGGTCCTCAAACTGCCCCCATCCCTCTGTGTTTACTGATAGGTCCTCAAACTGCCCCCATCCCTCTGTGTTTACTCATAGGTCCTCAAACTGCCCCCATCCCTCTGTGTTTACTGATAGGTCCTCAAACTGCCCCCATCCCTCTGTGTTTACTGATAGGTCCTCAAACTGCCCCCATCCCTCTGTGTTTACTGATAGGTCCTCAAACTGCCCCCATCCCTCTGTGTTTACTGATAGGTCCTCAAACTGCCCCCATCCCTCTGTGTTTACTGATAGGTCCTCAAACTGCCCCCATCCCTCTGTGTTTACTGATAGGTCCTCAAACTGCCCCCATCCCTCTGTGTTTACTGATAGGTCCTCAAACTGCCCCCATCCCTCTGTGTTTACTGATAGGTCCTCAAACTGCCTCCATCCCTCTGTGTTTACTGATAGGTCCTCAAACTGCCCCCATCCCTCTGTGTTTACTGATAGGTCCTCAAACTGCCTCCATCCCTCTGTGTTTACTGATAGGTCCTCAAACTGCCCCCATCCCTCTGTGTTTACTGATAGGTCCTCAAACTGCCCCCATCCCTCTGTGTTTACTGATAGGTCCTCAAACTGCCCTCATCCCTCTGTCTTCATTGGTATGTCATTGTCAGTGCAGGCCCAGCCAATAAGCGACATATGCAGCCGCTTAGGGCCCCGCAGCTGCTAGGAAGCCCCCGACCCCCAAAAAGACCTGGTTAGGGTACCTCTGCATTCACTAGTACGGGATCGAACTACCCCCACTCCTCTGTATGTACTAGTATGTCATCACAATCCAAACTCGTCGTCCTAAACTGCCCCAATCCCTCTGTATTCACTGGTATGTCCTACAATCCCTCTGTGTTCACTGGTATGTCCTACAATCCCTCTGTATTCACTGGTATGTCCTACAATCCCTCTGTGTTCAAGTTTAAGTTTAAACTTTACTGCCTCAGATGGAAATTTGTTTTGCAGCAATAGTCAAACATAAAAGACATAACAAAATACATTGACAAATGACAGGGACTACATAGGTGAATACATAGGTGGGTACACTGAATGCAATAGACTGAATACACCAGTTGACTAGTCCCTGACCATGTCATTGTCCTGAACTGCCCCCATCCCTCACTGGTACGTCATCACCAATCACCATCCTTAGATAAACAACAGATGAAACAGCCTATTGTATGTCACATGTACAATTATTAGTTCAATATGAGGGGAGAGAAACCTCTTCCTCCTTGTGCTAATTAGAGAAAAGATGTTTAGCTCTGGGGTTATTACCGTGATTACCATCTTTAATTATAAGGTGTTATAACCTCCATGAAGTGTTTACTCCATCCATCTAGTAGCTTCTCAGTCTCCTTCCTTAAGGCGGAGATGGAGGAGGTAATTGTATAGTAATGCTTTAATATGAAGTTGGAGCAGCTGGGCTGGAGGAGACGACATGGGAGAAGAGGATACAGTGCATTCGGACCCCTTGACTTTTTCCACATTTTGTTACGTTACAGCCTTATTCTAAAATTGATTAAATTGTTTTTTTCCCCCTCAACTCATCTACACACAATGCCCCATAATGACAAAGCAAAAACAGGTTTTTATACATTTTTGCAAATGTATTAAAAATTAAAACCTGAAATATCACATTTACATAAGTATTCAGACCCTTTGCTCAGTACTTTGTTGAAGCACCTTTGGCAGCGATTACAGCCTCGAGTCTTCTTGGGTATTACGCTACAAGCTTGGCACACCTGTATTTGTGGAGTTTCTCCCATTCTTCTCTGCGGATCCTCTCAAGCTCTGTCAGGTTGGATGGGAGTGTCGCTGCACAGCTATTTTCAGGTATCTCCAGAGATCGGCCTCAAGTCTGGGCTCTGGCTGGGCCACTCAAGGACATTTAGAGACTTGTCCCGAAGCCACTCCTGCATTGTCTTGGCTGTGTGCTTAGGGTCGTTGTCCTGTTGGAAGGTGAACCTTCGCCTCAGTCTGAGGTCCTGAGTGCTCTGGAGCAGGTTTTCATCACGGATCTCTCCATTCATCTTTCCCTCGATCCTGACTAGTCTCCCAGTCCCTGCCGCTGAAAAACATCCTCACAGCATGATGCTGCCACCACCATGCTTCATCGTAGGGATGGTGCAAGGTTTCCTCCAGATGTGACGCTTGGCATTCAGGCCAAATAATTTAATCTTGGTTTCATCAGACCAGAGAATCTTGTTTCTCATGGTCTGAGAGTCCTCTAGGTGCCTTTTGGCAAACTCCAAGTGGGCTGTCATGTGCCTTTTACTGAGGAGTGGCTTCCGTCTGGCCACTCTACCACAAAGGCCTGATTGGTGGAGTGCTGCATAGATGGTTGTCCTTCTGGAAGGTTCTCCTATCTCTAGGAAGAGTCTTGGTGGTTCCAAACTTCTTCCATTTAAGAATGATGGAGGCCACTGTGTTCTTGGGAACCTTCAATGCTGCAGACATTTTTTGGTACCCTTCCCCAGATCTGTGCCTCAACACAATGCTGTCTCGGAGCTCTATGGACAATTCCTTCGACCTCATGGCTTGGTTTTTGCTCTGACATACACTGTCAACTGTGAGACCTTATATAGACAGGTGTGTGCCTTTCCAAATCATGTCCAATCAATTGAATTTACCACAGGTGGACTTCAATCAAGTCGTAGAAACATCTCAAGGATGATCAATGGAAACAGGATGCACCTGAGCTCAATTTCGAGTCTCATAGCAAAGGGTCTGAATACTTATGTAAATAAGGTATTTCTGTTTTATTTGTAATAAATTAGCAAACATTTCTAAAAACCTGTTTTTGCTTTGTCATTATGGGGTATTTTGTGTAGATGATGAGGGGGAAACGCAACAAAATGTGGAAAAAGTCAAGGGGTCTGAATACTTTCCGAATGCACTGTAGGGGGGAGGTCACTGACCGACAGCCCATCCACAGCCCCTCTCTCTCCCTTGCAAATGCACTATGCTGCATTTGTGTCTTGCTTAATTTACACACTCGCTAGGTTCCAATGTCCATACATTCCCAAAACGTTACTTCATTCTAAGTGTTATGCAAGTGTTTTATTTTGGAACTCCTTACTCTGGATTTCTTCTCATCCTCGTCCCCTTTACGCGACTCGGTCCTCTCCGTTCCAATCGTCTCGACCTCTCGCTTCCAGGGTCCCTATCTCTTTCCTCTCCCTCGCCTTCCCGTCCCTCCCCCACTTCTCCTTCTCTCCTCGTCCCCCCCCGCCGCTCCTTCTCGTTTCCCTCTCCCCTCACCCCTTTCCCGTTCCCTCTCCCCTAACCTCCGGGTCCGCCCCGGGAGCCTTTCCCTCAGCCCCTACCTCTCTCTCGTCCTCCTCTCGTCTCCCCTGCCCCGTCCCTCCCCCTTCCTGCCCTGTCCCCTCTACCTCTACGTCAGTCCCTTTCCATTAGATCTCCTGTTCCCCCCCTCCCACTGCTCCGGTCCCCGCCCAAAGGTTTCCCTACTGTTCCTCTTCCCCTCAAAAGTTTCCTCGGGGCCCTCTCCAACTATCTTCGAGTTCCCACTTCTAGGCCAAAAACGAACCCCCGACGCAAAGAAGGAAAATCGGCCCCCTACCTCTCATCTACTTTTCCACTCCATTACCTAATCCCCCTCTTCCTTTCTCCTTTCCCTTCTCCTCAGTTCCTCTCTATCTGTCCTCGCTCCTCCCCCCTGTTCCCCCTCTCCTCCCTCTACTCTCTTCCCCCTCTCTCCCTCCTCTTTTTCCCCTCCTTCTCTCTCCTCTTCCCCTCTTTTCCCCCCTTCCCTCTATTTCCTTCCTCTCCCTATTACGTCCCTCCCTCCCTACTTCCCGCTATCACCCGGGCCCCCCCCCGCGACCGCGCTCCGGGCCCGCCCCCCCCCGGGGCCCCGGGGCCCGAGCCTCTAGCCTGTTCCCCTCTCCCGACTCCGTCTCCGTTCCCTCTGCCCAAACCGGCCGCGGTCCCCCCCATCCTCCCGGAAGCCGCACGCGGGCCGGGGCCCCCCCCGCGGCGGGCGCGGGGGCCCCCGCGCGCCCGGAGGGCGGGGGCCGGGGGGCCCCCCCGGCCGCGACGGGGGGCCGGGGGCCCCGGGGCCCGGGGGGCCCGCGCCCCCGGCGAGAGAGGGGGGGGGGGCCCCCGGCCCGGAAGAGAGGGGAGAAGGGGGGGGGGCGGAAGGAGGAGAGAAGGGGCCCAGGCAAGCGGGGGGCGGGGCCCAGGGAAAGGAAGAGGGGAGAGAGGGGAAAGGAGAAAAAGAGAGGGGCTAGCGAGAGGGAAGATTCAGGAAACAAGAGGAGAGGAAGCCGGAAGAGAAAGAGAAGGAGAGAGGGAAAAAAAGGAGGGGGGACGAAGAGAAGAAGAAGGAAGGAGAAAAGAGGAAAAGCAGAAGAGAGAGGGGGGAAACCTAAAAAAAGGGCCCCAAAAAAAAAAAAAAAAGGCCGGAAAATAAAGGTTTTTCCTCTATTTTATTTTTTCCCCTTTATTTCCCCATTCCACCCTCTTTTTTCCCTTTTAATTTCCTCTTCCCCTTCCTTTTCCTTTCCCTTCCCCTACTTTTTTCCCTTTCCCCTCTTCCTTTCTTCTCTTCCTCTCCCTTACTCTTTTCCCTTCCCTCTCCTTATTCTTTCTACTTCCCTTCCTTATTTTTCTCTGTTCCCTCTTTATTTCTCTGTTCCCCCCACCCCCGCCCCCCCCGGGGGGCCCCCCCCCCCGGGGCCCCCCCCCCCCCACCCCCCGGGGGCCCCCCGACCCCGGCCCCCAACCCCGGCCCCCAAAGCGCCGAAGAGCCCGGCGGCAGGGGAGCCCCCGAGGCCGGAAAGGACGGAGGACCGGGGGGAAAAAACCCCCCTTTCCCCTCCCCCCTTTTTTCCCGGCCCCCCCCCCCCCCCCCCCCCTTTTAAAAAAGGGGGGGCAAAAAAAAACCCCCCCCCCTTTTTTTAAAAACCCCCCCCTTTTTTTTCCCCAAAACCCAAAATTTTTATTTGAAAAGTGGAGGAGGGCCCGGGGAAAACCCCAGGGTTTCGGGAAACCCAAAACCCTGGGGCCCACCCGGGGCAGACCCCCCAAACCCGACCAAAGGGGCCCCAAAAAAAACCCCCGGGGCCCCCCCAAATATTCTTTTTCCCCCCCCTATATTTTCCTGCCCTTTCCAATTTTCTTTCCCTTTTCCCTTCTTTTCCCCCCCCTTTTCCCCCTATCAACCCTTTTTAAAAAAATTTTACCGGTAAGTCCAAAAAAAAAAACCCCAAAAAAAAAGAGGGGGGAAAAAGGCCCCAAAAAAGGGGGTAAAAAAATAGCTTTGGGAACAAAAAAAAAAAAAACAAAAAAAGGGGATCCCAAACCCCCTGGGGGCCCCCCAACCCTAGCCCCTTTAAAAAAAAAGTTTTTAAAAAAAATGAAAAATAAAACCCTTAAGGTTAAATTTCCCCAAAAAAATTTTCCCTTCCCCAAAAACCCCGGGAAAAAGGGGGAAAAAAGGGGGAAAAACAAAAAGATTTTGGGGGGGAAAAAAAAAGAAAAAAAAACCCAAAAAAAACCCGGCCCCAAGAAAAAAGGGGGGAAAAAAAAAAAGGGGGGCCCCCAAAGAAAGGGGGGGGAAAAAAAAAAGAAAAAAAAAAAAGGGGGGGGAAAAAAACCCCAAAGAAGAAAAAAAATAAAAGGGGAATAAAAAAGGGGGAAAAAAAACGAAATTGAAAAAAAAAAGGCCCAAAAAAAAAAAAAAAAAAGGGGGGGCCCAACCCAAACACCCAAGGGGGAAAAAAAACGGGAAAAAAAAAGGGGGAAAAAAAAAAAGAAAACCCCCCCCGAAAAACCAAAAAACCCCTTTTTCCCACCCACCTCAGAATTTGAAAAAAAAAACCCCGCCCCCCCAAAAAAAGGGGGGTTAATCCAAAATTTATAAGCCCGGGTACTAAAAAAAATTTTCCAGTGAAAACCCAAAAACAGGTTCAAAGACCCGGCCTTTCGGTTTTCCCCTTCAAAAAGGGGGGGGGAAAAAAAAAAAAAAACCCCCAAAAGAAAAAAAAAAAAAAAAAAAGCCCCCCCAAACCAAAAACGTTTCCCTCCCCCTCCCCATTTTCCCCTTTCCTTTCTTTCCCCTTCCCCCTTCCCTTTTCCACTTTTTTCCTTATCCCACCTTTCTTCGGTTCCCTCCCCCCTTCTCCCCCTTTCCTGTTTTCCTTTCTCCCTTCCCCACCCCTTTCCCTTTTTCCTATTTTTCCCCTCCCCCTTAGTCATTTCCTCCCACTCTACTCCGCCTTTCCCTCTCTTCCACCTCATTTCCCCCCTTTCCTTTCTTGTTTGGGTTGGGGGGGGGGGGTTTTGTTTTTTTTCCTTTCTTTAGGAAAACCTTATTTTGGTTGCGGGAAATCATTTTAAATGGAAAGGAAAACCAAATTGTTTTTTTTTTCCTTACAAAAAAATTTAAAATTTTAATTAAAGGGTGGGAAAAAAAAAAGGGTTTATTTTTTTTTAAAGGGGTAAGGGAAAATTTTTAACCTTCTTTTGGGTTAGGTTAACATAAAACAAATTTTTCCCTGACTGTTCCTTTAAATACAAGACTATTCCGAAAGACCGCCAGGCTAACTCGTCCTCTATCTCTTTTTAGATATCTACAATCTTAATTCCTTTCCCCTCTATCTCTTCCTCTATCTCTCTTCTATCCTTCTATCTTAAAGTAATATTCTCCTTATATCTCCTAATTCTTCTCTTCTCATTTCTCCGCTCCTCCCTTCTATCTTCTTCCGTTCCTTATTCGCCTCTCTCTTTCCTGTTCTCCTCTCTCCCTCTTCTCACCTCTATTCTGTCCTCTTCTCTTCTCTCTCCTGCCTTCCTCTCTCCATCTCTCTTCTCTACTCTCCGCTCTCCTCCATGTTTCCAGATTATGCCCTGTGTCATCCCAGCCAGCTGCTCAAGTCCAGCTACTTCTTCTTCTTCCAGCTGCCTCGTTTCCCAGAGCTCATGCTCTCCATCAATGATTTTAAGGTGAAATGTGGGTGTGTCGAGGGGGAGGGGTAATGGTTGTGATGGCTGTTTCTCAAGGAGTCTGTGTATGGCAACAATTTATGGATTGTAGTGGTTGCAGGCAACCTATCATTTTAAATGGAGCAAGAAATATTTGCTACAATTGTTTTTTGTTATTGGCAAAAACAAGAAATTGTTCTTCCTGGTAGCTATCATTAATCAATCAAATTGATCAGGTAAAAAAAAAAAAAAATGCGTTCTCATTTTTACTTTGTTGCAAATGATAGGGAGAGTGACAGCAGTAAATCGTTGTGCCTAAGTCCTTCTCATTTGAGTGTAGGTCATCTCACAGTAGTCAACACAACAACCATCCCATTTATAGGTCCTCGTCTGACCTGTATTACTTTAACAGTGACATAAGGGACCTTGTCTGTGCGTGCCATCCAGATCAAATCACACCTTGAGCACATTCGTACACACACACACACACACACACACACAGTCACTCACCCACCTAGTGTGTCTTTCTGTCCTCTCTGTTCTATAGGCGCTGAAGTGCCTGTTCACCAGCCGTAGTACAGGGATTGGGAGGAAGGGTCGATGGCTCACTGCAGAGGACATGGAGGCCTATCTCTACGCCTTCTCCCAGCCAGGGGCCCTGACCGGGGCTCTCAACTACTACAGGAATGTCTTCAGGTGAGGAAGATTATGAAATGATAAAATTCTTCATTAGTGAGCTCTGTATTAGGATGTCTCCTGTAGGCATCCATACTTACAGTGGGGAAAAAAAGTATTTAGTCAGCCACCAATTGTGCAAGTTCTCCCACTTAAAAAGATGAGAGAGGCCTGTAATTTTCATCATAGGTACTCGTCAACTATGACGGACAAAATGAGAGAAAAAAATTCCAGAATATCACATTGTAGGATTTTTAATGAATTTATTTGCAAATTATGGTGGAAAATAACTATTTGGTCAATAACAAAAGTTTCTCAATACTTTGTTATATACCCTTTGTTGGCAAAGACACAGGTCAAACGTTTTCTGTAAGTCTTCACAAGGTTTTCACACACTGTTGCTGGTATTTTGGCCCATTCCTCCATGCAGATCTCCTCTAGAGCAGTGATGTTTTGGGGCTGTCGCTGGGCAACACAGACTTTCAACTACCTCCAAAGATTTTCTATGGGGTTGAGATCTGGAGACTGGCTAGGCCACTCCAGGACCTTGAGATGCATCTTACGAAGCCACTCCTTTGGTGTGTTTGTGATCATTGTCATGCTGAAAGACCCAGCCACGTTTCATCTTCAATGCCCTTGCTGATGGAAGGAGGTTTTCACTCAAAATCTCACGATACATGGCCCCATTCATTATTTTCTTTACACGGATCAGTCGTCCTGGTCCCTTTGCAGAAAAACAGCCCCAAAGCATGATGTTTCCACCCCCATGCTTCACAGTAGGTATGGTGTTCTTTGGATGCAACTCAGCATTCTTTGTCCTCCAAACACGACGAGTTGAGTTTTGACCAAAAAGTTATATTTTGGTTTCATCTGACCATATGACATTCTCCCAATCCTCTTCTGGATCATCCAAATGCACTCTAGCAAACTTCAGACGGGCCTGGACATGTACTGACTTAAGCAGGGGGACACATCTGCCATTGCAGGATTTGAGTCCCTGGCAGCGTAATGTGTTACTGATGGTAGGCTTTGTTACTTTGGTCCCAGCTCTCTGCAGGTCATTCACTAGGTCCCCCCGTGTGGTTCTGGGATTTTTGCTCACCGTTCTTGTGATCATTTTGACCCCACGGGGTGAGATCTTGCGTGGAGCACCAGATCGAGGGAGATTATCAGTGGTCTTGTATGTCTTCCATTTCCTAATAATTGCTCCCACAGTTGATTTCTTCAAACCAAGCTGCTTACCTATTACAGATTCAGTCTTCCCAGCCTGGTGCAGGTCTACAATTTTTTTTCTGGTGTCCTTTGACAGCTCTTTGGTCTTGGCCATAGTGGAGTTTGGAGTATGACTGTTTGAGGTTGTGGACAGGTGTCTTTTATACTGATAACAAGTTCAAACAGGTGCCATTAATACAGGTAACGAGTTGAGGACAGAGGAGCCTCTTAAAGAAGAAGTTACAGGTCTGTGAGAGCCAGAAATCTTGCTTGTTTGTAGGTGACCAAATACTTATTTTCCACCATAATTTGCAAATAAATTCATAAAAAATCCTACAATGTGATTTTCTGGATTTTTTTTTCTCAATTTGTCTGTCATAGTTGACGTGTACCTATGATGAAAATTACAGGCCTCTCTCATCTTTTTAAGTGGGAGAACTTGCACAATTGGTGGCTGACTAAATACTTTTTTCCCCCACTGTATGTAGGACATGCACAAAGTGAACATGTCGAAGCTGACGGTTGTTGTGCCTCCTCATTTTACCACAAGCGCCCTCTAAAAATGTAAATCATTAATGCCCTCTTGTGTTGGAAATTATATTATATCTGATACAATAGTTTTGTGCTTTCAAGGAGTTCCTCTTGTGAAAACTCAGTGGTCTATATAATAAGTCCCCTCACTGGCCAGTGGTACAGAGTTCTGGGAATCAGACTTCATGATGATAAATAATTGGGCTTTGGAATAATGTATTCCTTTTGTTGGTTTGTTTGTTTGTTTTCTTCTATTTGTCTTTGACAAGTTGACTCTTGTAATGATTCAACGTCATTTCTCTCGCACACACACTGACATGCACACAGTCTTGTATAACTAACCTTATGGGAATACACAGTTCAGTCCCATTCAAAATCTTAGTTTCCCTAACCTTAACCCTAACTTTAACCTCAACCTTAACCCTACAACTAACCCTAAAACTAACCCTAGCTCTAAACCCTAACCCTATACCTAATTCTAACCCTAACACTAGTTCTAACCTTGACCGTAAACCCCCTAGAAATAGCATTTTACCTTGTGGGGACTAACAAAATGTCCCCAGTTGGTCAAATGTTTGTTTGTTTACTATTCTTGTGGGCACTTCTGGTCCCCAAAAGTATAGTTACACACACACACACACACACACACACTGATACATACAAACACACAACATAGAGTGTGTGTTTTTGACATGTGAACTCAACATTGCATGACTGACTTCACCATCTGCTCTCCTTCCTTAAAGCAGCCAGTCAGTGTCTCTCAGAACAGAACAGCATATTTTGTTCTGCTCTGAATTATATAATAAGGATGTCACTGACTCATTATTAATTAGTTCAAGAAATATGCTCTATAAATAAATTCAGCAATTGGCCTCTCCAGAGATTACAACACAGGTTACATGGATGTATGTATACCACATGAAAATATAGTACTGTGATTAAAGGTCTGCGTTGAACCAGTTTTCTGGTTCTCAGATGCTTTTCAATAAGAAAATTGGAATTGGAGTAGATTTTTTTATACAGTTTATTTCCTGAATGAAATGGAATTGACCTCAACCCATATCAGGTCTGTTGTTTAATATGCTCTCCACAGCTCCCTCCCACTGAGCCAGAATGATGTCAAGTCCCCAGTGTTGTTGTTGTGGGGAGAGAGGGATGCCTTCCTGGAGCAGGAGATGGCTGAGGCGTGCAGGGTCTACATCAGGAACCACTTCCGACTCAACATCATCTCTGGAGCCAGCCACTGGCTACAGCAGGACCAGCCTGACATCGTCAACACACTCATTTGGACCTTCCTCAAAGAGGGAGAGGGCCGCAAAACCTACAGGAACTGAATCTAGCGAGGGATATGTCCAAAATGGCACTCTATTCCCTTTATAGTGCACTATATAGGGGAATAGGGTGCCACTTGGGATGCAATCCTAGAACGAGGCCTCCTCCCTCTCTCCGTCACTCCCTCTCACCCTTTGTCCCCACCAGCCACCCCTACCACTGGAAGCCTAGAATATGCCTGTGAAAAACCAACCAACATAACGATAATGCAATCATTCTTTCAATCTTTACACATTTCAGATCTTTTTTAAGATGTCAAAAGAAAAGGACACTGAGTAGTACAGTAGTATGTTTGACACATATTAAATACTTTTCTGCACATGACATCCGCCTTAAAGTTTGTAGGTTACAACATTACAAATGTATGGCATAATCTCCTTGTGAGTTTGTATTGTGTGGTGCCTTTTAACGTAATGTTGTATAATGTTTTGCAGCGTTGTAAAGTTGTGCCATGTCTTCTAAGGTTGAGCTGTGGCGTTGGTCTGCTGTATGTGTCACTGGATTGCTCCTCTCACAATCCTTTGGGATCCCTCTTGTCCCACACCCTGTGTTTGTCCCAAATGGCACCCTATTCCCTATTTAGTGCACTACTTTTGACCAGGACCCCATAGGGCTCTGGTCAAAAGTAGCACACTTTTACAGGGAATAGGATGCCATTTGGGACGAAGACCCTCTCTATCAGGTAGTGTTGTCTTAATGAAAATATTGTTATTTTTGTATTATTTTTTTTGGACTATTTGCTCAGTTATTTGAGAATGTTGTTTATTATGATATTCCTGTATAGAACAACAGTGATGGTTAAATATTGTACACTTTTTTGTTTGTATCTATTCCTATCTCTGAAATCCACTGAGCCAGGTCTGCACCATTTTCATTTTTTAAGCAAATAAACTATAATGTGAAGCCTGGGGAGCCATTGTCAATCTTTTCAACTGACAGCCCTGACCTACAGAGTTACGAATAGACCCACACAACCTGTCCTAATTTGCATGCCTGCTCAGGCTATGTCACAGAGCCAGCACTGTCATTATACTAGAACATGATTATAGTTATGGAGCATAGCCTGGTTTATGCAACGTTCAAAACAACAAGGAACTCGGAAAAATACAAGGTCAAATCATTAGGTCAGTGATCTTCAGGTCGGAAAGTCTGAGCTCTAGAAAGAGGACCGAGTTCCCGAGTTGGAATTCCGAGTTGGATGACGGTTCAAATCGATTTCCCCAGTCGGTAATGGCTGGAGTGGAATAGTATCGAACACATGGTTTCCATGTGTTTGATGCCATTTGCTCCGTTCCAGCCATTATTTTGAGCCGTCCTCCCCTTAGCAGCCTCCTGTGGTAAACTATGTTAACTGTTTAATTTAATTTATGTATTAGGAGGGATCGAATGCAATATGAGCATTTACTACAAACAGTATGACATTTAGGACCCGTTTATATTCGCGCATATTCATGCATTTACGGTCAAAATACTTCCTTTTGCATACGTCATTGGGGTGGGTAGCACATCGGCTCGGAGAGCACAGGAAGCGTGCTAGTTGCAAATAAATGAAATTGAAATGGTAGCTATTAATTTTAAAATAGTATCTTTGTTTCTGTCGACGCAACCTATCACTCAATGACTGGACCATATTGAGCTCTTATAGCTCTATGAATCGACAGATATTTTGTAGGCTCTCGTTTTTTGTCATTTTGTAGTAGCCGCCTACCGTTTGTTTTTGCTCCTCTGAAACAGATGGGGTCTATTTCAGTGACTTAGAGTAGCCAGCTAACTGTTTTGACAGCTGAGGAAAATAATTGAACGAGTGTTCCCGAAAACAACTATTATTATATTATGTTACTATTAATTATTAATGTAGCTATTATCATGCAATTAAAAAGGGTGTGATTTGCGTTTGATAGTAGCTAAGTAAGTGGGAATTTCATGAAATGACAGTTTATCTGATAGAGCTAGCTAGCCTATTCTTGAGGTGACATTCAAATAGTGCAGTTATGATCTCTGAGGGGTATACTACAACACTGCATCAATGAGTTAACCAGCTAAATTGCCAAACTTTTCTGAAATATATATATATATATATATATATATATATATATATATATATAGTTTTTTTTTAAAGATAAGCTTGAAAAGGGCATGGTCTAATTGACTTAACAACCAAAACACATATCAAAGTTTTGCTTTCATAATGAGCCAGAAGTTCGATAGTTATTTCTGATTGTTTATTGAAGTTAGCTGGCTAACTAATTGAACCTGCTTTGTAGTATACCCCTTTGACAATTGAGTCATACAAGAAGCTCTTATATGGCTAGGGAAAATGCCTCAGTGTCTGTTATTCATGAAATATTAACTGAGTTGTATTACACTTCTGTGTTTGATCTTCTCTCCTTCTGTCCCCCTAGTCTTGGAGCCTAGGTGTGCTGAACTGCTCCAATCTTGTGGGTTTTTAGGAGAAACGTCAAGCTTGTTGTTTGGGAGCGCATAACTACTATGATCAACACAGAGGCAATACGAGAATTTCAAGCCAAAGAAAGAAAATCCAGAAGCAATCTTAAGAAATGCTTAGCTTCAGCATTGTCTGCAGACCTCAACAGGTAATGATTAACACTGTTCCTGGACACAGAACCTTTGCCTATTTTCCAGTAAGGTCCAGTAAAAACTCATTCACATTCACTCTACATAAGGCGTTGTCAGGCAACTGTCAAGAAAGCCCTTGTCAGTAACATTCTTGTAGTTTCAGCATCATAATCAAAAATACTTCCACACTCAATATCCTATCAAGCAAAAAACTAAAGTTCAGCCTACTGGGCAATTCCACGGTTATAGAGTGACACTGAGACTCAGATTTTTCACTTTAAAATGTATGTCAAACAAAAAACAATGATTGCAAAGTTAAACAAACTCTATACACAACACAACAATACTTTTAACAATTTCCACTGAAGCAAAAACACATTTACTTGACAAATAGTGCAGATTCAAAGTTTGGTAGCAGAATGACGGCACAAACAGCACAAACTGTCATTCTGTTATCAAACTTTGCATCTCGATTTTAAAGTGAAAAATCGGAGTCTGTGTCACTGTTTTGTGGAATTGCCCGACTACAACCAGGGTTGGGGCAAATTCCATTTATTGACCCCAACCCTGACTATGCTCCAGGGTAAAGCTTCCCCTCCCCCAACCCTAATCTTAACCATTAGTGGGGAAATGTAAAACTGACCTAAGATCAGCATCACGGTTTCCACTAGATAACACAGCCACAAAGTCAAAATTGGCTATACTGTATATCGTAAACATTTATTAAAACAAAATTAACTTTTTGGTCTTAATTTAACATTAGGTAGGCATAAGGTAAGCAGTGTGGTTAAGGTTAGGGTCACGGTTAGGTTTAAAATCACATTTTAAGATACATTTTAGAAATAGGTGGGGTTTATGACTCTGTGGCTGTGGTAACTAGTGACTACCCAACTTCACCCTACACCCCTAACTAGAACAAACATTTCCCTCCGACTACCTAGTAGTAATAAGAGCATTAGTACCCCCTGTTGGCAGGTCAGACACAGTGTTGCTCCTGCTGCTCATGACAGTCGCACGCAACAAGGGGTTATGGGAAATGGAACGCCAAAGGAACTTGATTTCCCATTCAACTCCTCATATCCTGGGTGACCCACTTCCCAGTCACTCTGCTTTTCTGCCTGAAGGCTGTAAAATGAAATCGCCACAGCAGCAGTAGCACCACAGCTCATACATGCAACCCAGTCACATGTAACCCAGTTACTGGCTGCGTCCCAAATGGCACCCTATTCCGTTTTATAGTTGCTACTTTTGACCATGACCCATAGGGCTCTGGTCAAAAGTAGTGCACTACAAAGGGTATATGGTGCTATTTGGGGGACACACATACAACAGCAGCAGTAGCATGCAGTAGGACAGCTCATACATGCCACCCAGTCACATGCAACCCAGTCACTGCCTTCCCTGGGGGCTATAAAATAGCCCAGTTCCAGTAACCACCGAGGCAGTAGCTACAGTAGTACCACAGTTCTTATGGCACATTTGGCTTGAGGCTGGCTGATTTCTGGGTCACCCACTTCAGTCACAGCAATGGGAATTAATTATGGTGGAAAGGAGTACGGGGGCAGAAGAAAGGACCAAGGACTCTGAGTTACCCAGATCAAGTCCAGTCAGCTTGATTGTATATAGTCAAGCAGGGTTGTTGGGTTTCTACGGATGCATATGACCTCCCCACACTACTAACCATGCTATCCCCTTGATGACCTGCCTCCCAAATTTATTCCTCTGCCTCCTTATATTTAAATGTCTTCAATTAAGAAATGAATTGTGGCATTGTCCCTATGCTATCCTTGCTCCACTGATATTATCTTGTGTTGCAATGTGTTTATTTACTGCCAGATGTGATCCACTCCTGTGTTGTGATTTCCCAGGCTGCTGCAGGAGGAGTTAGAGGCAGATGTCAGCCTGTGTGCGGTGGGCTCCAGCACCAGTTCCACCCCTCTCCTGGTTCACAGAGCTGTTCTCCTGGCCAGAGCCCCACACATACTGAGGATGGGTGCTCATCCAGACCCCAAGACCATCCAGCTAAACAACTATGACAGCACGGAGCTGAAGCAATTAATCAGGTACACTGAGTCAAAATACATGTTATTGTCTTTACAGTTTCAGTACACTCCATTCCATAGAAATATAATTACTAATGCTATTTCTATGGTCCAATCATCCTTATCTAGGCCTTCTATTCTCACTCAAATAGACATCACGGATGCATCAAATATATTTTAATCTAAATCATTTAAGAGAGTGTTTCTATGTAGATAATCTAACTCTGTCAATAAACATGATTGTTAGTCAGTGCTTAGCGTGGAGTTTCTGTCCTGTTAAATTATAGACAGGGGGCGCCATACTTGATGCCTTGATGCTGTAAGTCAGCCAAACTCCATGCAGACCCAGAAGGAACTCAGTCAGGCGTTCTACTTACTGCTGTTTAGAGCTGTAACAGTAGAATGCACATGGTGCAATTTCGAAAGTTGATAGTGCATGGGGAGTTTTCCTCTTGTTATGTCATTCACTGACAGACCTTAGAGAGCTATTTATAACCTGTCAGAAAACTACTAGCCCATGTTGGCTAGATAGGTAAATGAGACTGAACAGCTATCTAAATCTTGTAGATATCATGGCCAGATTACGTGCTCAGGGGCCTCCACCCCCAGGGGGCCCCCATTGATTTAGTCAGGTATCATAATGTGTAGAATAGCAGAAAATTAAGTTAAAACGGCAACATTTTCTCTACGCCAACAAGAGGGGTGTGAACAGTTTGGGCTGTGGTGCTAGTGTGCTAGCTAACAGGCACTGTGCTGGGGTGCAGTGTGCTAGCTAACAGACACTGGGCTGGGGTGCAGTGTGCTAGTGTGCTAGCTAACAGGCACTGTGCTGGGGTGCACTGTGCTAGCTAACAGACACTGGGCTGTGGTGCAGTGTGCTAGCTAACAGGCACTGGGCTGTGGTGCAGTGTGCTAGTGTGCTAGCTTACAGGCACTGTGCTGGGGTGCAGTGTGCTAGCTAACAGGCACTGGGCTGTGGTGCAGTGTGCTAGTGTGCTAGCTTACAGGCACTGTGCTGGGGTGCAGTGTGCTAGCTAACAGGCACTGGGCTGTGGTGCAGTGTGCTAGTGTGCTAGCTTACAGGCACTGTGCTGGGGTGCAGTGTGCTAGCTATCAGGCACTGTGCTGAGGTGCAGTGTGCTAGCTAACAGGCACTGTGCTGGGGTGCAGTGTGCTAGCTAACAGGCACTGTGCTGGGGTGCAGTGTGCTAGCTTACAGGCACTGGGGCTCGGGCAGCAGGCCAAATCGCTGCACTGTGCTCCTTTCACACATAAGGCTGTTGCGGTGACCGTATTATCGCCACACTGGCAGTCATAATTGGATGCAACTCAGTAGTATGTGGGTGGCATAGTAGGTGTATTATTTTCACAAAACAGTTATAGTTCATAACACCAGGCCTACATATAGTTCAATCGAGTAAAGGCTTAACTCCATGACAACAGAGACAGAATACAATATGGAATTTTAATGAATAGTTTGGGGTAGGCCTTGTATCCCCCACCCCCCAGCAAGTAGGAGACACAAGGTTTAAGTTGACATATAAATACTCAGCTAGATTCATGCCCATATGTTGAAGGAAAGGAAAGTGATTATTGCACGAGTAAGCCCATAGGTTAATCAGCAAGCATGGTGGAATTGCCTTAGTGTGCCATGCTCATAGGCTGAAGTTAATAGATTAATGACAATCCGCACACTTGATAATATTGTAAAGGTGTAGGCTATATTGCGTGGATTTATTAGACTTTTTTAAATGTAGATGTTCCAAAGGTCTGTATCAGTGGCTTGTAGGCTATGTGTGGAAGCCAGGAGATGCTAAATGTGTTTATGTTAATTAACGGTCAATTACTGTGAGACCGACAGTTATTTGCTTGACAATCACCATCTGACTACATTTTGTGACCGCCACAGACCTACTCACGCACCTCTGTGTTCTGGAACATTACGCCCTGTGCGTCAGTGTCTCCTTGAGCACACCAGCTCAGAGCAATGACGACTGACTATAGCACTCCTCATAGAATGTATACAAAGGCTCTAACTGGGGCATTTGTTACCATTCTAATCCTAGGTGTTTTAGAGGGGTTGGGATAAAGCAGAACACAATTTCCTCTTGATCATTCGTGGACATTGGACAATAACGTCATCTTCTTCCTTTTCTTCTGTTTCTACTAATCTTAGGCGAATGTACACAGCAGACCAACGCATGGGCTTGGCTGGAGAAGGAATCCCTGAGAGGTTAGAGTCTCCTACTATTGTCCTCAATGGTCCCGATGCCGATCTCCACACTGACTCAGGTAAACAGATCAACTGTGTGTGCGTCCAAAATGGCTTCCTATTCCCTATACAGTGCACTACTTTTGACCAGAGCCCTATGGGTCCCTAGGTCCATGAGACTCTTAATGATCTGACTTAAAGGAACATTTATACATTTTTCTACTTCATATTCATCATCTCCAGCACCACCCAAACATTAACATACAGTATGTGAAAATGGCGCATTTCTATGTTTTGTGGAAAGAAATATAGTAGAAGATAAGTGTTTCCAATGACATCATCGGTGTGCATCACTTATCTTCCGTTACTACAAAACATAGAAACGTGCCATTTTCACATACAGTGGGGAGAACAAGTATTTGGTACACTGCCGATTTTGCAGGTTTTCCTAATTACAAAGCATGTAGAGGTCTGTAATTTTTATCATAGGTACACTTCAACTGTGAGAGACGTAATCTAAAACAAAAATCCAGAAAATCACATTGTATGATTTGTAAGTAATTAATTTGCATTTTATTGCATGACATAAGTATTTGATCACCTACCAATCCGTAAGAATTCCGGCTCTCACAGACCTGTTAGTTTTTCTTTAAGAAGCCCTCCTGTTCTCCACTCGTTACCTGTATAAAAGACACCTGTCCACACACTCAATCAAACGGACTCCAACCTCTCCACAATGGCCAAGACTAGAGAGCTGTGTAAGGACATCAGGGATAAAATTGTAGACCTGCACAAGGCTGGGATGGGCTACAGGACAATAGGCAAGCAGCTTGGTGAGAAGGCAACAACTGTTGGCGCAATTATTAGAAAATGGAAGAAGTTCAAGATGACGGTCAAACACCTTCGGTCTGGGGCTCCATGCAAGATCTCACCTCGTGGGGCATCAATGATCATGAGGAAGGTGAGGGATCAGCCCAGAACTACACGGCAGGACCTGGTCAATGACCTGAAGAGAGCTGGGACCACAGTCTCAAAGAAAACCATTAGTAACACACTACGCCGTCATGGATTAAAATCCTGCAGCGCACGCAAGGTCCCCCTGCTCAAGCCAGCACATGTCCAGGCCCGTCTGAAGTTTGCCAATGACCATCTGGATAATCCAGAGGAGGAATGGGAGAAGGTCATGTGGTCTGATGAGACAAAAATAGAGCTTTTTGGTCTAAACTCCACCCGCCGTGTTTGGAGGAAGAAGAAGGATGAGTACAACCCCAAGAACACCATCCCAACCGTGAAGCATGGAGGTGGAAACATCATTCTTTGGGGATGCTTTTCTGCAAAGGGGACAGGACGACTGCACCGTATTGTTGTTGCTACTGGTAATAACAGCCCAGTGCAGATAAGGCAACACAGCTTCATTGACCTTTTTAGGTAAACACTAATGCTACTCGTTCTGCATGTTTATTCAGTTTAGCTTTGTTCTCTCTGTCACTCACATACACACACACAAACACACTTTGCGTCTGGTCCAACAGATGGCGTGCACGGCCCTTCTAGTCGGATCTGCCCTGGCCAAAGGATCATGTTTTTTGCACATACACTCTCTGTCTTATTACCCCTCCCTCCTAACCCCCTCAGATGATGCTGTGGTTGTGGAGCCATCCTCTGGTCTTGGAGCAGACCTGTTGGATCTCTACCAGAGAGGGGAAGGATCTGACATCAGCATCCAAGTGGGGGAGCAGGTCTTCTCCTGTCACAGGTAATCAATCAGCCAGCCAATACAATGTATGAAGTCCTTTTTGCATCAGCAGTGGTCACAAAGGGATTTAGTGTAACTTGACCTAGACCCCACAGAGCAAACAGAAGCACAGTGGCCAGGAACATACTCCCTAGAAGGAAGAAACCTCGTAGCACAATAAGGTCTAAAGGTTTCATTCATCAATATTTGTGTAGGAAAATGACTGATTGTTTTGTTTTTATCTCCTACACAAAACCCCCGCTGTACATCTCAATTGCTCTTCTATCTATGCAACTCAGTAGTTTGTAGGTGGCATAGTAGGTAAGTGGTTATCCCACTGGCTATAAGGTGAATGCACCAATTTGTAAGTCGCTCTGGATAAGAGCGTCTGCTAAATTACATAAATGTAAATGTAAATGTAGGTGTATTATTTTCACAAAGCAGTTAAAATGTATGCACACATGACTGTAAGTCGCTTTGGATAAAAGTGTCTGCTAAATGGCATATTATTTATTATATTATAGTTCATAACACCAGGCCTACATATAGTTCAATCGAGTATTACATTACATTTACATTTTAGTCATTTAGCAGACGCTCTTATCCAGAGTGACTTACAGTTTAGGTAAAGGCTTAACTCCATGACAACAGAGACAGAATACAATATGGAATTTTTATTGAATAGTTTGGGGTAGGCTTTGTCACCCCCAACCCCCAGCAAGTGTGAGACACAAGGTTTAAGTTGACATATAAATACTCTGCTAGATTCATGCCCATATGTTGAAGGAAAGTGATTATTGCACGAGTAAGCCCATAGGTTAATCAGCAAGCGTGGTGGAATTGCCTTAGTGTGCCATGCTCATAGGCTGAAGTTAATAGATGAATGACATTCCGCACACTTGCTAATAGTAAAGAAAAATGAAGGACGTGATGCCATGCTGATGAGGTACCATTATGACTAGGGCTGTTGTGGTGACCGTATTACCACCACACCGGCGGTCAGGTGTCATGAAGGCAGTCAAATTCCACGTGACCGTTTAGTTACGGTAATTAGGCTTCTCCAAGCTCTGATGCTGCTGATGGTCATTAGTAGCCTACCAAACTTGCTAACTGCCTGGTACTCAAAAATCTAATCAAGCACTTAATTCTAGCCCATGAGCTCATGTTGCGCAACATTTCTATAGGCTATGCAATTGCGCGAGAAAACAGAGTGATGGGCTCTACTAAAAAGAGGAGGATCCCATCAGCTTTCTATAGGCTAGGCCTACTATATTTATTTCTCAACTTTCCTAATATTAAGCACATTGTTTATCTTTACAACAGGAGTATAGCCTACCTGGCTGGCAAGAAAATCAACCACAGGAAACGCGTCCTCCAGTCTCTATTTATGTGCATAAATTACATGCATCTTTTCCCGCTGCCCTGTTTCGAGACAGGTGCATGATAATGGTCCATTCTAAATCAAAACATATTTCACACATATATTATTTAGTATATGTAAAGAAAAGATTAAATCAAGAATAGTCTGAATATTAGCCTATCACTTGTGAATTTATATATTATCACTTGTGAATGATTCCCAGCATAAGAAACTGCCTTTTTTCCCCTTCACTTTTTAGAATCATAGTCGCACACCTCATGTCCCGTGTAGCTCAGTTGGTAGAGCATGGCGTTTGCAACGCCAGGGTTGTAGGTTCGATTCCCACGGGGGGCCAGTATGGGGAGAAAAAAATAAAAATGTATGCACTCACTAACTGTAAGTCGCTCTGGATAAGAGTGTCTGCTAAATGACTAAAATGTCAAATGTAATGTAGCCTAGCCCATAGGCCTATATGTTTTGATAAGGTTTGTATCACAACTAAAGTGGCCAAATAACTTCTTAAAATTAAGCACATTAATCTGCTTTACAATGGGTGTAGAGCCTAACTGGCATACAGAAGCACCGCGTGAGTTTCAAGTTTTGGGAAGATCATTTTCACCATAAAAATGCACCTTTATAATAAAAGCATTACATGCATAATCACATTTGCAGTCACTTTTGATAATGGTGTTTTCCCGCTAATGGAACATTTGTGCTTATAATAATAATAATAATAATAATAATAATATAATATGCCATTTAGCAGACCCTTTTATCCAAAGCGACTTACAGTCATGTGCGCATACATTTTTACGTATGGGTGGTCCCGGGGATCGAACCCACTACCCTGGCGTGACAAGCGCCATGCTCTACCAATTGAGCTACAGAGGACCACATAGCCTACTACCATGTGTGCATTGCTGCGCTTATAATGTGAAGAAATAGCGTAATAGTTTATCAACATTTTAAGCAAAATGTTCTGATCTGTTGCGTCAGCCACATTGCGTAATTCTTTTGGGGGATGCAAGTTGTTGTATTAATTTGGGATCTATTGCATCCCACAACTGTCCCAGACTATGTTTGGAATATTTATTTCTCTCACAGAATAGAATAGGTAGACTTTTGTACTATGGGGGATAGTAGATTGACATAGGCTAGTGCTTTTGCTGTTTGTTAGGCCTACTCATCTTGTTGGCTGACGAAAAGTAAATGTGGACAGTTCTTCCAATATCTTCAATATGCACCTCGGAATTGGATAAGGACGCGCGCAGTTGCATCCCCGATGTGTCTGTCTTCACTTGTAGCCTGTAAGAAAAACCTGATCACGTGATGGGAGAAGGGCATCTAAAATGTAGATGTTCCAAAGGTCTGCATCAGTGGCTTGTAGGCTGTGTTTGGAAGCCAGGAGATGCTAAATGTGTTTGTTAATTAACGGTCAATTACCGTGAGACCGACAGTTATTTGCTTGACAATCACCGGCTGACTAAATTTTGTGACCGCCAGAGCCCTAATTATGACACTACCATATATATACAGTGGGGAGAACAAGTATTTGATACACTGCAGATTTTACAGGTTTTCCTACTTACAAAGCATGTAGAGGTCTGTAATTTTTATCATAGGTACACTTCAACTGTGAGAGACGGAATCTAAAACAAAAATCCAGAAAATCACATTGTATGATATTTAAGTAATTAATTTTCATTTTATTGCATGACATAAGTATTTGATACATCAGAAAAGCAGAACTTATTATTTGGTACAGAAACCTTTGTTTGCAATTACAGAGATCATATGTTTCCTGTAGGTCTTGACCAGGTTTGCACACACTGTAGCAGGGATTTTGGCCCACTCCTCCATACAGACCTTCTCCAGATCCTTCAGGTTTCGGGGCTGTCGCTGGGCAATTCGGACTTTCAGCTCC